GCGGTTCCGCTATGTATTCTGTCGATTTGTCCTCACATTTTCTGGAGGAGGCTTCAATTTCGTAGTCGCTTCTGGCTTTTTTTTAATTATTAGTTCACCTCCTTTCCCTACATTTCGATTTTGTTCTTCTCATGATTTTTTTCCGTTTACCTCCCTGGATCTGGGATCCAAATCGGGGGAATGATTCTATGGCATTTCGGTGCGATTGTATCCGTATGCCTAGTCCTCGCACTCGCGCCCGGTCTTATATAATATATCGGCGTCCGTAATACGACTCTCAGGTCCTTGATCCGAGCCTCGAACGAAAGTAAGTACGAGTTGTACACTGTGCAGGTGGAATTCTGGATCTGCTTGCTGCTGACGCTGTTGGGCTACCTCCCCGGTATTATCTACGCCGTATACGCAATCACCAAGTAGAGTGTGCGGCAGGCGAAGGACGATTTGAATAAGTTGAAATATCTTCCAGGTAGTTCTTCTGATTTCCCGCCTATTTTTTCTCGTTAAAACGAATGTACAGATCCCGAGGGGACGCGGTTCCCCTCGCTGTCATTAGCGTCATATGTTCCTTGTACAGCGCTAACCTCCTCCCCACACCTTCTCCCCGCGTTACAGTTGTATGTGTTCTCGTGGCTGCCTTGTTTGGTTGTGGTGGCGAGCGTTCGTGACCGCATGTTCATTCTCTCCTCCAGCGATGGCGGGAGCGGCATTCACAAAGGCCGTGCCCGTCCCTGCTGCGTGCTTCTTCGCTCCGGCCGTTCTGCTTTCGCTAGGATTCATTCGTCGTCTGCTTGTTTATCCTCTGTTTCATATCTCCAAATAGGCTTGTTAGGGTTCCTTCCATTTGCATTCCCTGGGAATCTCTCCCTCCTCCCCGGATGCTTGGTTGTTACATTGGTGCGTTGTTAGCTGGCGTTGCTCTGATGCCTGTGCTAGTTGGTGTACTAAATTTGCTGGTTGGTGCATTTAATCGCCGAAGCGCGCAGGGAGAGAGAGGAGAGTCAGAAGCTTACACTTTTTTACTTTATTAATTGTTTCTTTGGGCTTATCGATACCTCTGGATAAGTGATGGAGACTAGCAGGTAGGATGGTGGACCTAATTCTACCACTCTCCTCTTCTTTAAAAGTGTTTAACGTCACCCCACCACCGACATAGACCAACTAGTCGTCATCTCTACAGCGAATCATGTGCTGTGCACCTACTGAGCCTTGCTCTGATGTTCAGAATATTATCCCACAAATTTCTCGGTGTCATGTGCTTTGCTTATGTACCACACATCCCTTGCCATTTCCCAATAGACCCTCATCATCCTGGTCGCACGTGTGCACTGTGCAAAATTGACCTCTTGAGATGTGGGATAAATGCTTATGATGAGAGATGCATTGAGCCATAGATGAAGAAAGGAATTGGAATTCATAGCGCTACAAAAAGGTCAAGAGGATGAGATGAACCTTAATGTTAAAGTCAATGGAAGTGTAGTAGATTGTAGGTGATCCCAATATAGAGTCATCCATAAACTCAGTTATGGGACTAAGTAAATTGGGGACTATATAGTTAGAAAAGAAGGTTGAAATCAAGGGGATAACACTATTGATCGATTGTCGGCTACCCAATTTTATTGGCTTTTGTAGACTATTACAACCAACTAAAGAATTATTATTGAAAACAATATGGTGATCAAAGGTAAGAGTATCTACAGAAATGTTGTCAAGAATTAGAGGTAATGGAAGATTGTGCCTATTGATATAATTGAGAAGCATCAACATCATCCTTGATATGTATTGATTGAAAACACTAGGTCCAATGAAAGTCAATGGGTGCCAGCTCGTCATATAATTTTGTGTGGAAGGATTGTGGATCACCATGAAAGGAGACCCAAACCTAAGTTGGTCATGACCTAGTGAGCTAGGGAGCATAGTTGATGGTTAACCTGTACCTATTGATTGTGATGAGTGAAACTGAGGAATCCAAACCACCAAATGACCTATTGCCAAGACTTAAAGCAAAGTACTTGCACACTTGCACACTTACACCCATGTCATTTGTTTACTAATAGAATCAATATGGCCAATGTTTAGCACACACGTAACCCCATTTTCAAACATCTGATATTGAAAAGTTGGTACAAACATGCATGATGCAAAGATCATACAACCTTCCATGAGCCTCTATTCTAGACCCATACTATTGGTGATGAAAAACGATCGGAGGTAACATTTTTGTATATATTATAGACCCCTAAATGCAGCCACAGTACCATATGGGTTTCTCATTTTAATTCTAGATGAATTATATGGTGCAATAGTCTTCTCAAAGCTAGATTTGAGGAAGATATCATTAGGTTCATATGTGTTGTAATGTAATAGTTAGATAGATGTCAAGAATAATTTAAGATATGTCCATGAAGTTCTATTTGCCCTCAAAGATAGAGTTCATGTAATAAGTTTAGTAGTTAGAGTAGTTTGCCCTTTAACTTAAGGGTGTCATCATAATGAAAACTAGACGAGTTTGTTTCCTTACCTTTCTCATCTCTCTCTCTCTCTCTCACCCTCAAATTCTTTGGCAACCTCAAAATATTGAATTTTTTATATCTATGACAAATAATTTTGTATTTCATGAAAGAACAAAACACATTTAAATTTGTCACCATTTTATTTGAGATTAGTTGTTACAAATTCTATTGAAATGAAGTTTCATTCAACATTAGATCTAACTATGAATGGTTTTACAAAGGCTCTGAGTTGCAACAAATTTATCAAATTTAGAGAAGCTATTTTTACATTAAGAGAGAGTGTTAATATTTAGTGCAAAACTAAAAAAACTATTTAATACTTTTGTCTTTGCTAGGCCTTTTCCCTTTGTCTTTATTAGTCCAAAAGCATCCCTTTTTATCATCTTTAGTGGGTCAAAGGGGGTGGCCTAAATTGCACATTTATATAGACCATAAATACTGTCTCTCTCTCTCTCTCTCTCTCTTCTTTAGGAAGATTCATGACATGTTGAGAGTTTTTTGTATACTAAATTCCTCTTTCTCCTCTTCTCCTCTCTTGTCATTTTTGCCCAAAATCTATCATATCTCTCTAGATATTTATCCCCATTTTTCCTACAACTTTTCATATGACAAGTCAAAATCTTAAAAATAATAACTACATCACGCAAACTATTAGTACAACACCATATAACATGTTTTAATCTATAGTACCCCCTTTATAAACATAATCTTCCCTCCTAGTACATTAGAAAAATCATTTTTAACTTTTATTACATCACTCAATGAATATTAAAAACTAGAGATACCATCTTGATAAGTTAAGAAACACTTAATTATAATGAATTATGAAAGTTTCAACAAACAACAAGCTTTGTGAACTCTAACTCAATTTGGATGACATGATTTTCTTCAAAATTAGACCCTACTACTTGCACTTAATATCTGTAAAAAGGAGAAAATTGACCTCCATATATTATGATTGCTCAAGTTAGTCTATTTTGTTACAAGTTACAACTCAAGATTGCAACCACCCATTTGATATTCCAAAACTCTCAATTGTAGAAGAGCTTGAGTACACCCAAATCTATTAAACTAGTATTAGTTTCTGTGGCTGATTTAAATACAAAATGATGTACATTGATAAGAAGGTTTGTGCATATGCCACACAACTTATGGACTAAAAGTCCTCATCAAATGGAACTTACTATTAGTACCTAAAGCTACTTGAGAGTACTATCACCTTCATTCAAAAGTAATTTCCCAAATTATATCTTGAGAACAATGTGTAACTCATTGAGGGAGGTAATAATCGGTGCTTAACCTAATTCACTTAATTTTCTAAGTTGAAGAAAACCAAAAAAGCAACTCTATATATAAGTACTAGGATATAAAATAGCAACATGAGTGAGTGATTCAGGAAATGAATATTTTGGGTTGTCTAGCATAGGAGAGTCTAGGGATCCTTTTGGATCAAAATCTCATAGTACTATATGATTTTTTTAGGTTTCCTATTTTATTTTTGATTTCTAGGACTTTCACAACTTTTCAACTAGGTTCATTTATGGTTACATAGTTTCTATCAAAATACTTCAAATGTTCATTCAAACTCCAAATGTACACCAAAATTATTGAAGGTAAACCCCAAACGTGTTTCAATAAAATTACAGTTAAGTTGATGTTACATTGGTGAATTGAAGACCATAGTCATCTTTTGATCATTCTAGATCTTAGTTTGAATATAATGATAGATATTATACATGTCTATGAGTAAGTAGTTTTGGTGCTTGAACATAATGTTAAATGACTTGTGCTCATCTAACATGGTCTTTATACCCATAAATAATAAATCAAAGTGCTTCACATACCGTTTTATATATCATGTGTGATAACTCCTTTGACTCCTTCATAAACACATTTCACAAGTTTGCTTTTGTCAACCACATTTTTTCCTTACTAAGGAGGTACATATTAGCTAATGCAGTCTTCTCCAAATCTCAATTGTGCATTGCCCAAAGATAATGCCCTAAATTTTAGAGGAAATTCTCTCTCCTTGATGTTATACAAGAAAAAAAATACCTTTGACGTGAAGACAAGGGCTCATATAATGCTGCTAGTCACCAACCTTCTACTGAGATGCTACTTCAATGAAAGGACATCTACTATAAGGGATTCATCCAACTCATTTTGCTATGTCCTCAATGAAAGAACATTGTAACCAGCTACCTCATATGCACTGCTTCCCCCCATTCTTTTAGAATTAGGTCTCTATTCCCTTGATGGAGACCAGGACCTATACTATTTATTCCTTCAATTGGCCAATCCTTTGACCCCTAATCCCACCCTCACTTGCTTTGATAATCAATTTGACACATATTTGACTCAAAAGAGTATTTATTTTTGCCACTAATGCAAGCATGCAGAGACCCTACAAAACACCTTTGGCTTAGACAATGGCCCGCCTTGTGCTGCTTGTCATGGACCTTCTATTGGTGGTATACTCAAGCAATAAAACAACCAGCTTCTCTCTCTCTCTCTCTCTCTCTCTCTCTCTCCTTCTCTCCGCCTATCTCTCTCCTTTTTCTATTCTTCTAATTTTTAAGAAGAGGCCTATGAAAGGATCCATAAGTACTTACACGCACCAGGTGTTAACTGGATTTGCCTTGTCTGGCCCCCGTCATCCTCATCTCGAATCAGAATTTGGGCCTAATTGGGCCTAATTATCTTCTCGGCTCCATCCGATGGCTGTCGGACGGTTCGGATCGTCGCCTAGCGCGTGGCCCTAGATTCTCAGTTCTTTCTTTCTTTCTATTGGTAAAGAGATGGGAGGCGGTGACAGTGGCGCCTCCTGGTCGACGAGGGAGAGAGAGAGAGAGAGAACCAGAAGCGAGCAGAGGAGGAAGAAGAGGAAGAGGAGGAAGAAGAGGAAGAGGAGGAAAGGGGACTATGGGGGCTGTTTTTTCGAGGGCGGGGATGCTACCCATCCTGGTGCTGCAGGCGCTGAGCGAGTACACGCGCTCGGACTCGAAGCCGCCGGTCACGGCGGTGCTTCTGGTGGCGAACGTCCTGATTTACCTCCGGTGGCCGCCGCTGCTCGACCGCGCCCTGCCGGCCATCGACGAAGTCTGGTTCAATCCCTACCTCGTCGTGAAGGTGCGTCTTCTCCATGCCCTCTTCTCCTCTGTCCTTCTCTCCCCGTGCCTCTGCGAGCCCCTCCGATCCGGCCCCTCTTCTGTCAATTCCTCCTAAATCCCGCGGCCTCCCGAGCAGTGGAGACGCCCTGTTCTTCTCGCCGACGAAGAATTTGGTGATTCCAATCTCTGCGACGAAATCTCCCAGGCTCAGCCCTTCCGCCTCGTCGTCGAATTGGGTGGGATTCATGAGCCCCTTCCTGATCTTCCCTCCCCCTCGATCCTCATGTCTTCCCCCGCCATCTAGATTCTACAGCTCTTTTCCACATTTAGAATGCTTCCGACGCAAGAAACACACCCCACCCCACCCCCCCTCCCCGCATAGGATGGAGAAGAAGAGCTGCCGGTGTTCGTCGAAAACTGGCCTGGGGAAAGGAGCGCTAGGGCCCTGGTTTCTCCCCTTTTTCAGGGCAGGAGTGGCTGAGTGACTTTTACAGTAGTAGGCAGGAGTCGGGATCATGGTGGTCTCTTCTTCTTCTTCTTCTTTCTTCTGACGGTGGGTGGGCGGCGGCGCCGCCCTGTTCTGCCGCAGAACGGCGACCTCAAGCGCTTCTTCCTATCGCCTCTGTACCACATGGGGGAATCACACCTCGTCTACAACATGATGTCCCTCCTGTGGAAGGGCGTCCAACTGGAGACCTCCGTGGGCAGCCTGGAATTCGCCGCCATGGTGGCGACGCTGCTCACCATGTCGCAGGGGATCACCCTCCTCCTGGCCAAGACCCTGCTCCTCTTCTTCGACCACGAGACAGCCTACTACTACGAGCACGCTGTGGGATTCTCCGGCGTCCTCTTCGCCCTCAAGGTGGTGCTCAACTCCCAGTTCTCCGGCGACCTCTTCACCTACGTCCACGGGATCGTTGTCCCGGCGAGGTACGCCGCCTGGGCTGAGCTCGTCCTCATCCAGCTCTTCGTTCCCGGCGTCTCTTTCCTCGGCCACCTCGGCGGTGTTCTGGCGGGGATCTTCTACCTCCGGCTGAGGGGCCTTCGCGGGGGATCGGACCCCCTCTCCTCTCTCTTCGGCGGCGCTGCCGCCGTCCTCTCCTGGCCCGTTCGCTTCCTCCGCCAGATGTTCCGCCGCCGCCCCCCTACTGGGAGGAGGGGCAACACAGTCGGCGGCGCCGGCCGCCCAGGGAGGGGTATGTCGGGTGGCGCCTGGCGGTGCCCCACCTGCACCTACGACAACTCGGGGTGGAGCGACGTGTGCGAGATGTGCAGCACCGAGCGCCCGGGCCATGCATTCGGAGCCCGCCGGGCGTCGGGCCATCCCGCCGGGCTCCCCGTGGAGGAGCTCCGCCGCCGCCGCCTCGACAGATTCGACAGATAGCCGCCGCCACGACCACCACCTTCTTCTTCCCCGATCGAATCGATTGCTTCCCCTCAGGGAGAGTCAATGAATTTTTCTTTCTTACATTCGGGACGACTTACTGTACATTCAATTCATCTCAGAGTCATCATGAACGAGACCGGACGGTATCCTTCGATCGTCCTCCTGGTTTAGTCCTCCGCCGTTATTTGCAGTCAAATCATCTCAGAGGGGGAAGCTCACTCAGCCTTGGTGGGCTCTGGGGGTCGCCAGCGCCCTGGAGCGCCGGGGCCTCTGCTCAAGCTCGAGCTCGGCGCGGATCGCCGCCACTTCCTTCTCCATTGCTGCCTTCTCCCGGCGCATCTTCTTCGCCTCCACCTCCATTGCCTTGGTCAGCGTCTCCACCTTCCTCGACAGTACCTGCACGAGCCACCCCACTTGAAATAAATAAATAACCTGATCGGAGAAGATGAACGTTCTTGGCGTACTCTTTTCTTACCTCGATGGCGCCGTCCCTGTCTCTCAGATTCTGGTCCTTGTCCTGGCAAGCTCTCCTCAGGCACACGACCTCCTTCTGCAATACGTCGTACAGCGCGCTCGAGACGTAGCCGTCCCCTGCGGCGTCGCCGGCGGCGGCGGTTTCCGGACAGGGTTTCCCCCCGGCGTCCGCCTCCTCGGGGGGCTTCGGGGTCGCAGCGGAGCGCCGAGACCGCGAGGTCGACCTCCAAGACGGGGGTGGCGGCTGCGATTTCTTCACGGGGAGCCCTCCTAGAGATGCCGCTTCCGCGCCGCCGTTCGCCGCCGACGCCTTCAGGCTGTCCTCGACGACCTTCAGCCGCAGCTGGAACTTCTCCTGAAACGGCAAGAGCGTCTTCATCGCCGGACCCGCCGGAAACCAGAAACAGCAGCAACCCCTGAATTTACCTTGAGCTGGGCTTCTGTTCTGGCGGCCCTCTCCGAGATGGACAGTCTCTCGCGGAGCTGCTGCATCTCCCCCTGTGTAAGAACAGAGCCCCGGAATCAAGCACGAAGATTGCAAGAGAGAGAGAGAGAGAGAGAGCCCACTGTCGCATGGTGGAGAGGCCTACCATGAGAACCCGCCGTTCTTCAAGCCACTGCCTGATGGGGATCACCTTGTCGTCAGCCTCCTTCCACTCGTTGGCGATCACGACGGCGACCCGGTTCTCCTTCACCTTCGCCCGGGACAGGGTCCTCTCCAGCGTCTTCTTCTCCTCCTGCGCGCAGAAGAGATGGACGGGAAGGTGAGGGCGACGACCAGCAGAGGAGACCCCTGGGAGCTTACTGGAGCGTCGCCTACCTTCAGCTTGCCCAGCTGCCGCTGGTAGTCCCGCACGGCGTTCGCCGCCGCGGCGCCGGAGAGAAGAGCCTCCTCGAGCTCGCGGACGGTCATGCTCAGCTTCTCCACCTCTGCAACCTTTTGGCGTTGCATCCTGTCCAGTATTTTATACTCCTCCTGCGCCACGAAAAAACATGACCCTGAAAGCTCTGAATGTGGTGGATCCTCTTCTCTGATTTGATCGGAGCTTGAAAAGGGGCAACGCTATGCTATGATCTTCTTCTCCTTTCTACCTGGCAAATCTCATTTTGCTTCATGAGCTCCTGATTCCTGTTCTGCAGATCATCGACGTGGGCGACCTTGACCTTCGCCAGATGGACCTCCTTCTCCGCCTCAAGCAGCGCTGCCTCCTTGGACTTTGTCATCCTCTCCAGGGCTCTGTTGTCGTCCTGAAGCTTGGAGACCTGCCAGAGATAAAGAACCCGGTGACGCTCCATCGCAGACCATTTCGCCATTGCAGACCATTGCTCGAGCAAACTTGCGAGCTGACCTCCTGCCGCAGCCGTTTGATCTCCGCCTCGAGGGGCGAGAGGATCAGTTCCAGAGGGGGCAGCTCCTCATCCTTCCGGGCGGCGTGGACTCTCCGGAGCGTGGCCTCGGCGGCGAACTGCGCGGCTAGAGCCTCCTTCTTCTCCTCGCTGATCCTCTTGATCTCCAGTTTCTAGAACAATGGCATTCCAACTCCAGATCATTCCTGATCGCCGGCGAAATCTCCGGCCACCCGGTAGATGGAAAACGAGTCGGAATACAGAGGGGTATAGCTCGTGGGCACCTTGGTCTCGACATTGGCCTCTGAAATCTGTAGCTTTTCCGCCATCTTCTCCAGCTCCTCGGTAACCTGGAAGTAGAAGATTTTAGGCAAATTGCTCGGAAGAACTGGCTGAAGAAAAAGGGAAAAAACTCGGAAGAAAACAGTGATGGATCCGAAGAAGGGGGGGTGGCACCTCTGCGAGTGCCTTCTCCTTGGCTCTCTCTGTCAGCTTCAGAGCCCTGATTTCGCTGTGAGCCTCTGTGAGCTCACGATCTTTCTCTGTAACACGACATTTTTTATAAAATCAGTCCATCTTCTCTTCCTTCAATGGATGAATAAAGCTGCTCGAGTCGAGCGACAAAGAGCAAATTAGGGTGGGTTCTAGGAAGGAGAGGGATCTCTCTAAAACGTGACTGCCATGGTCTAAGAGAGGACTGGAGGAGGTCGACGATCGAGCGCCCTCAAATCCGCCGAGAAATTCTTTCTTCCCCCGTCCACAGATCTTCGCGCTGAGGAGAATCGGAGGAAAAGGGGAAGAGCGGGATGGGGGAGGAGAATTGGTTACCCTTGACCTCGTTCTCGAGGCGGTTGATCTCGATCTTCACCGGATCAGATCCGTGGAGCAGCACCAGGAATCCCTCCTCCTCCAGGCTCGTCTTCTTGCTGCGAATCTTCCTCAGCCCCTGCCTTCCCTCCGCCGCCGGAACGGGCGACACCGGCGGCTGGCCGACATCGGAATCGCTCTCCGTCTCCCTCTGGTCGCCCATCAGGCAAGCCGCCACCGCCACCACCACCACCACCGGCAAACACAAAACCCCCACCAAACTCCCCCACCGGAGGGGCAGCAGAGGATAAAATCGACGAATTCCCTCTGAAATCCCCCCCACAACCACAACAAGCCGCACTTACGTCAACACCGGCGACTCCCTGGCGCCAACATGGCGCCACCGACGAGAAGTAGATGGGGAACCAAAGGCTACACAACGCCGCCACCGCCGCAATGGTCAGCTGTCGGTTGAAATGTGGGGGAAATTCTCCGACTCTGGAGGGGAATCCGCAGTGAGCTTCGATCTGGCGGCGCCGCTGCTGCAGTCACTCCAGCGGGAGGGGAGTTGACGAGGAGGAAAAGTGTGGGCTACCTCTGCCGGTCCGAGCTGGAGGATGATAGTGCCCCCCCCTCCCCCCATCCCCTGAAATGCCCAGATAGCCCTTTTTCCCGCCAAATTTAACCGGTGGTTGTTGGACACCCGCGGGCCCCGCCGCCGACAACCTCATCCGATAGATAATTTCCGAAATATATAATAAATAAGTAAGCAACATTTATTGAATGGAAGCATTTAATTTAAAATTAAATACATCGTCAGTTTGCAGCGAAAATCAAGGTGTTGCATTTGGAATGGTGCTCGAGATACTATTTTTTTTTTTCCCTGATTTTTGCCCTAAAGTAAATAGACTATCCGGATTTTATATAAGAATTTAAGCGTCTAAAAAACCATCAATAATACAATCTTAATATTTAGGGAATTTCTGGGGGAGCTCGCACGTGCGATAATGGACGCGCGCCACACTCCCTTCTCCGGGCACCGGCGGCTCGGCGGAGCCCGGGCGGAGCTACCAGCACCGACTGGTCTCTCCCGCCGACATATTAGAGAGAGAAAGGGGGAGAGAGGGAGGGGGAGAGAGAGAGAGAGAGAGAGAGTAAGCGGAAGAGACGAAGAAGCGCTGACGAGGGATGGGGGGGATTGTTGATAAACTAAGCAAGATTAAACGAGCCAGCGCAGCGGATGGAGGGAGGAGAAAGGCCTGGCATGTGGGCATCAACGTCCCTCTTCGCTGGCTTGGAGCGAAGGAGAGGCGGGTTGGTTGGCACATCGTAGTCCTCGTTTCTCTCACTAAAGGTCGTCTTCCCCGTATTATTATTCGTTATCCCCTGGCCCTCCCCACAGAGTCGGCGCCGGGCATTTGCATGCAGCCCCCTCTACTTCCTCCAAGTAGCACTGAGCTGCTCAGTGGCGTCATGAATGCACCAGAGAGAGAGAGCGTGCGCAGGTGTGGTGGCCATCCCCATTCATTCTCCCACGGCTCATCCTCTACAGACAGAGAGAAAGAGAAGGAGAGAGAGAGAGAGCTTGCGCAGAGGTGGTGGGCACTCCCATTCATTCACGTATTGGCTCATCCTCTACACACACAGAAAGAGAGGGTGAGAGAGAGAGAGAGAGAGAGAGAAACTGCGCAGGGGTGATGGTCATTCCCATTCATTTACTCATGGTTCATCCACGACACACACAGAGAAAAAGAGGGAGGGAGGGAGAGAGAGATAAAGAGAGAGAGAGCTTGCGCAGAGGTGGTGGGCACTCCCATTCATTCACGTATTGGCTCATCCTCTACACACACAGAAAGAGAGGGTGAGAGAGAGAGAGAGAGAGAGAGAAACTGCGCAGGGGTGATGGTCATTCCCATTCATTTACTCATGGTTCATCCACGACACACACAGAGAAAAAGAGGGAGGGAGGGAGAGAGAGATAAAGAGAGAGAGAGCTTGCGCAGAGGTGGTGGGCACTCCCATTCATTCACGTATTGGCTCATCCTCTACACACACAGAAAGAGAGGGTGAGAGAGAGAGAGAGAGAGAGAGAAACTGCGCAGGGGTGATGGTCATTCCCATTCATTTACTCATGGTTCATCCACGACACACACAGAGAAAAAGAGGGAGGGAGGGAGAGAGAGATAAAGAGAGAGAGAGCTTGCGCAGAGGTGGTGAGCATTCCCAATTATTCACGCATGGCTCATCCTCTACGCAAAGAAAGAAAGAGAGAGAGAGAGAGAGAGAGAGCTTGCGCAGAGGTGTTGAGCATTCCCAATTATTCACTCATCGCTCATCCTCTACAGAGAGAAAGAAAGAGAGGGAGAGAGAGAGAGAGAGAGAGCTTGCGCAGAGGTGGTAAGCATTCCCAATTATTCACTCATGGCTCATCCTCTACACAAAGAAATAAAGAGAGGGAGGGAGGGAGAGAGAGAGAGAGCTCACATGCACTGTTTACCAGCGTGCGGGTACCGCAGGCGAATAATGGGAGACCCGGCGGTGGTCGCAGGAGTGAGATGGATGAGAAGAGCCGCTAAGATGAACAAACGATACAAAGGCGGGCCGAAAAGACTGACGAACAACGGGGATATCGGCTGCTGAAATAGTAACCGCAGTAATCAAGTTACGATATTTTTTTCTTCGTAGATTCTGCTAAGCTTCATCCTGCGAGATGCTCCCATGGCGCAGAAGAATTTCATGCCAAACTCCTCAAATTGCCTACCGTGCAAAAGTATTTAAAATTTGATCCGCGCAGAAGGATTATATCATTTCTTTTCCGAACTCGATCTTTGCTCTTCTTTCCCTCGTCATCGAACTCGATATATGCTCCTCTTTCCCTCGTCCTCGAACTCGATTTATGCTCTTCTGTCCCTCGTCACTTTTCTTCATCCCGTGCGATGAGAATGCTCATCATTTCACCGAAAGATTTTGCGGTCGAACTATACGAGCCGGACTTGCCGAAAGATTGAAAGCTAACAAGAACGTAAGCAATCGGTCGGCAGCTCAGCATCCCCATCGTCGTCGTCCAAGAGGCGATGAGGTCGAGAATCTGTCCTTCTGGTTTCCCTGAAACGAGCGGGGAAGATCTTCATTCTACCGTTCCCGCCATTGGAGAGGAGTACCAAGAACCAGCTTACAGATGCTGCCTATGCTCAGAGAATCGTCTGGCTCCGCGTGAGGTGATGTTCATGTAGGCCTTCTTTCCTTGCAGCGAACCAGATGCTGGCATCTGCCGTAGACCTTTAGTCTGACTAATGCTCAAAGGTTCGATTCTTCGGAGGCTTCTTCCACAAGGGTGAAGGATCAGGGCATTCATCTCTCTCTCTCTCTCTCTCTCTCTCTCTCTCCCCCCTCCCCTTCGCCCTCCCCCCCTCTCGGTGACTAAGCGGTCGAGGCATAGGTCTGCAGCCGCGCTCTCCCGCTGCGAGCAATGAGGACCCTCTCAGAGGGCGTCTTCACCAGCCGTCCTGCGCTCGCCTTCTCGCTCGCGTTAGGGTTCGGGTTCTTGCTGTCGGCGATGTCGTGTCCCGTGGTCTCAAAGGCCGTGCTCTTCTTCTCCCCACTGCTAGCTTCCACCGGAGCATGTCTGGCGGTGGTTTACCTCTTCTTCCTCTCACAGGGTGGCGCCGAGGAGGCGGAGCTTCTTCTCATCAACGTTGGAGGGCTGGAGCATGCGGTGCAAGTTCGGGTCTCCGGAGATTCAAAGCTGGGACTTTGCGGCGACCGTGTCAGAGTTGACTGTTTTCTATTGGGGAGCTATCAAGCGAGAGCGAGGGCGACCCAAGCTCCGGTGAAGATTGGGAGGGTTGGCTGCGCAAGCGACGCCACGGTAGGTTCTTCCCTCGCGACGGATGATCTGGCGGAGGGGCTGTGGAACGGTTTCTTCGGGAGCTACTCGAGGTGGCACTACGGCGAGGAAGACCTCCAAGAGTAGCTCTCTCATGGAGGAGGAGGATCCCAGTTTGGTGATCAACAGGGCCGGAGAGACCCCTGCCCCCTTAATACCCTTCCTAATCAACTTACTAGTTCTGGGTTCTAATCTCTCATACCAGGCATCAATTCTCCTCATCCCCCCTCCCCTTCCCTCTCCCGCTCTGTCCATTTGCTTAAGACGAAGATGATGAAATGGTCTCCGATGATGAAATGCTGGTATTCCTGCGCAGGAATGGGGGAAGGCTGTTCAGTCCTCAGGCTATACACGATTGGAGTTATATTAATCTCCAGGACTAAAGAACAGAGCATCAGATGGTGCTTCTTTAGAAAGATTATCCCACAGATTCTCAGCTGATTAGAGTTGTATTTGGCGGCTAGTTACACTGCTGATCGTCGTGTAACCCTCCCCCTCCCCTCCCCCCGGGAGATGCGGCTCTCCGGCCGCCCCGGCTGACGACCGGACTTACACCCCCCCCTCCCCCCTCCTTCCTCCCTCCTGTCAAAACTCGCTAATCCCGCCTAGCCTCTCTCTAACAAGCGCCGGGTATTCCCCGACAAAGAAAGGGGGCGGGAGAGAGAGGGAGCAACTATAAACGGAACCCCGGACGAGGTTTTCAACGCATTCTCCCGCAGGGTTTCATCGAGCAGAAGAGCGGCCTCGCTTGAGAGAGAAGAAGAGGTGCAGAACCCACCGCAATGATGGTGGGCAAACTTCTGAGCGTGGTGGCGCTGTGCTCCGTCATCTTCGCCGCCGCCGCCGCCGCCGCCCCGGATCTCCCGAGCTTCGTGATCGAGGGGCGTGTACTGTGACACCTGCCGCGCCGGCTTCGAGACCACGGCCACCGACTACCTCGCCGGATCGAAAGTCAGATTGGAATGCACGCTTCAGTAATCCGACGAGGTCGTCCACACGGTGGAGGGGATGACGGACGCCACCGGCACGTACCACCTGACCGTCGCCGACGACCACGAGGACGAGGTCGGGAGGTGGTGCTGGTGGAGAGCCCACGCGCCGACTGCTCAGTGATCAAGCCCGGCAGGGACCGCGCCCGCGTCCTCCTCACCCACAACAGCGGCCTCGCCACCAACGTCTGTCTCCCTAACTCCCTCGGCTTCCTCTAGGAGGAGCCCCTCCCCTCCTCCGGCGCCCTCCTGGCCCAGAACCAGCTCGGCGACGACGAATAAGCCTCCGCTGCCGCCTGAGGACGACCCGTTCGGGGCCTTTTCGGTATCATTTCCTTGGCTTAAAGGTACTTCTCGATAAAGCACGGGTTTTTATGATATTTTCATGTGACCCGTTGGGGGCACCCTATCTCCTCTCTCGCTGCGGCTAGTCGGATAACGTCCCCTTGCTGTAGGCCGGCGCTCCTCTGCGGGCGGTGTGTCTGGACGGGGCAAGAGGGCGAGGAATTCGGCGGGCAGACCGACCAGTGGAGGGAGAGAGAATAATCGGCGGAGAAGGAAAGGCGGGGGTGGGTAGGAAGCGTAGCGGGGAGCTCTTTGTGGGCATTTCGACGATGTTACTCCGGATGCCCTGCTCCGGCTCCCTCTGCCCCAGACGGCCTCCAGGGGCTGCTCCCCCTCGCGGGAAACTCCTGCGAGGTCGATGTGGTGGGGCTAGGGCGGTCCTCAGAGCGGTCGACGGCTTGGCTGATCCTCCCACCTCCACCGGCGCAGCGATTCCCGTCCACACCGTCACTGTCCACGACAGGGAGCGCGGGGTCGTCCACCAGTTCCAGGTCCCAGAGGTGCGGCGCGATTCCTGCTTTTAGTAGTCCTGGTTTTCTTCTTGCTTAATCTAGGGAGAATCTGATGTGTGTCCGATTTCATGCTGCCTCCATAGGATCAATACATCCTGCACACTGCCGAGGACCAGAGTATCTCCCTGCCATTTGCTTGCAGGCACGGTACTATCTCCTTCTCTCATCCTTCGCAGGGCATTTTCTATCTTCCTGACCTAAAGACTCTCTAGTCAGATACAGCGCGTTTCTCTGCAGGATCCATCTTACTTTCCCCGTCAAACCATCTCGACCGTCGGGAAATCTAGTTTGCACGCTCAGACATCAAAGAATCCGCTGTCTTCGTTGTTTTCTGTCGAGTTGTGAAGTATGAGGGGTTTGGGCTAAATATGGATTAATTTGTGAACTTTCCGGATGAGAGTGGAACATGGACAGTAATCTTCGTTTAATCGCACTTATCTATAAAATTAAAGAAGGAGGAGATGAGCTTAGTGAAGGTGTAAATGCCGCTCTGACCGCGCGTTCGTAGTGAATTACATGATATATGTGCTTACCGCCGATGGCACTCTTATAACCCCCCGTTTTTAAAGCGGATGTCTCGGGCTTTTCCTTTGTGAGGCCAGCCTCTGCGCATGATACAAGGAGAGTTTGAAAACTCAGAGATTTAACTCCTGATTAAGTTCCTACTTTTATTTTTACGAACACGATGAATGCTTAGTGAAGTAATGTAAATCCACCATGGATGTATGGGCTCGAATAATCTTCTTGAAATGTGATGGCAGCTACATGAATTTTCCTGATGTAATTCCTTTTTTGGGAGCATTAAGTTAATGGCCTTCGTAATCGAGTTGGGTTTTGGTTTACAGGCTGCTGCACTAGTTGTGCTGTGAGAGTGAAGTCTGGGCAGATACGACAGCCAGAGGCTCTTGGCATATCTCCAGAATTGAAATCCCAGGTTAGTCTGAGGGTATTTATTTGTAAATCAAATGATATACCAAGAACACTTTATCATGCTTGAGCTGGATTTCTGCCATAAGACTTTTAGAATATTGGTGGAGCACTCAATTTTTTTTCTTTTTTCGACATGTGAATGGAGAACATCCCGTAATCATTCAAGTTAAGAGCAGAAAAGGACTCGTTATCTTTGAAAATCGCTCTATGCGTATTACATGTTCAATTTTTTTTTAGAATGTTGCACTAAGCATACGGTGATTGATACATATGATGATACAGAAAAATTGGCCATCACTCCCTAACAATGTTGCTGGACACTTTGGCGCTGTTCATGATGCGCAGTGGTAGAAAAGATATCTACCCATGCTCGAGACTCCTTGACTTTTGATATAGCGGTAAAAGCTTGGTCATGTGAATATATTGTTCAGCTTTGTTGATCGATTTTGACCATAGCAAAACCCTGACAAATCATTATTCAGTCTCGATTAGATTCCGCGCATGAAATTCATGCAAACGAATACGGGGTCGACTAGCCAGAAATACCCTGAAAATGTGACAATTATGGGTTGGATTGGCCCTCCAAAGGTCTGAGGCAAATCTCCTTAAAACTGAGTTCCTGTTTAGACAGAAGTGCTATCATGGAGAAAGTCGTCGGCCCTTTATGCTAAAGAGCCAATCCGTTGACCGTGTGCAACTTCATGTTATGGTGTCGATACTTTTCAATCAAGTATCGACCCATGCATGAATTGTCTACAATCATCCCAAAAGTATCGGTGTATGCAGGCAGGACAGATGGCCAGCTTTTTTAAGCGTCAACATCTACAGCTAGGAGGGTCATTCGAGGAGAAGTATCCAGGTGTCGACATAGATTATCACATGACAACGCCTGGAGGCTTCAAGTGTTGATGTCCTGGTTTCTGACCTTGGCAACACCCAGAGATAGTGTTAGGCAATCCTATTTAAGGCGTTGATGCTGGAAGTCTAAGTGGCGCACACTGATCACCACAGTGGAACTCAGTGTCATTGGCTGAAATATGCATGTTATCAACATCTGAAAACTCAACGGTCGTAATTCTTGAAAAAGCAAACCGGGAGGAAAAAAATATTGAAAACTAAATCTACTAATAGTAGTTTTAAAGGTGGAATATTTTTCAATGGATGTGTCCCCTCCTCACGTGAGGAATCAATCTAGCATACGCAAATCTAAGAGTTCAAGAGATAGAAGTTGATCCTCTACAGATCTCACACATGCTCAAGTGAGCTTCTCAAGCTTCAAGCCTTCCAAGCATGTCGCATTCCTAAAATCCTGGGAAGTTCGTAGATTACCACCTGTTCATCTTTGAGCATGTTTGACACTTGGCAAGATTTTGCTTTATTTGCTCATAATCCTCTGGAAGTAGACTTAGAATGAAGCGCGGATAACCTAGTGAACTCCCAATGCGACTTTGGGGATATTATGCTCACAATGTTCTCTTCTTGAGGAGTAATAACACGCATGTGTTTATACCCATATTATGCTGAATGTCTGTCACAAATCACCCGTGTTAAACTATTAAATAATTTGGAAATATAGATAGTTGTAAGGATTCCCAGGCATTTGCTCAGTTCATGAAAGAAAGTCGGGGCTTATCATATCCAGAGAGCAGTTTTGTCTTGTTCACAGTCAAGTCACGCTGGAATCAGCCGCTCCCATTCGTATTTCGTGCGGAGAATCTTGATTCTTGTAATGAAAACAACGGAGAAATAATGGGACTGGTGGAATCGGCAACTAAGGAAGAAGATGATAGAGTGAAGCTCCTGATCGATCAACCCTATTTGACTCGAAATGGACCCAACCCACCCGATTCTGCAAACTATTACAATTAGATGAGTGAAGAAAATAAGCATCAGCTCCTGTTAAAAGGATTAGAGCTTCATTGGCGCTCTCAGGCCATGGTGGGGAGCAGTCTTTTTTTTCATTATCAAACTAATTTGATATCTATCGAATAATCTCTCATTTTTACCCAGTATTTCACTTCGATTCTTTCTTTGTCTTGATTTCAAGCTTTGTAACGCCGATTTGGATCTAAACTAAGAACCATCTCATGCCCAGGGCTATGCTCTGCTCTGCGTGGGCTTCCCATGTTCAGACCTGGAGGTGGAGACGCAAGACGAGGACGAGGTAATATTCTGAGAGGAAGCTCTCAGATTAGTAGACTCTACTGCTAATTTCAGTGAATTCTGGCGGATGGGTCTGAGTGTGACGTCTCCCTGTTTTCCAGGTCTACTGGCTCCAGTTTGGTCGGTACTTTGCTCGTGGCCCAGTGGTGAGTCTACTCCCCCACCCTTTTATCCGCTATCTTTTATTAATCCGAACTATAGGGGCGCATAGTTCCATGAATCTATGCTGATTTGATGATCTTCGGTTGATACCTAATCAGGAGAGGGATGACTACGCGTTGGAGCTGGCCATGGCAGATGAGTAGTAGTGTGTGTGTGTGTGTGCGTGTGCGTGTTCATAGAGCTCGTTGTTTGACTTCTTGGCTTCATCAAGATTTCTCACTCCTCCCCAGAGAGGTTGTATCCGTTGACTTCATCGACTGCCGATTAAACTTAGAGCAACCGAGGAACGGGTGCTTCCTGATTTCATGAGGACTGCTAGGTTCTGCGCTTAAAAGCCGTAATCTTTCCAGGCCCTGTGGGGATCTCTCTCGTTCTAAGCCACCATGGCGATGAGATTTTCTGTAAGGAAGCAACCCATGTGCTATTGTCAGATTTTCTCAAGTAACGCAGAAGAAATACTCTTCTAATATGAAAATCCAAGTGGTTTCGAATGTTGGTTTGGACGGGTAAGAAGACGGCCACCAGCCCACCGCCTCATGGGCTTTCGGCGGCGATAAAGTGGTTCCTGGCAGTGGAAACCAGCTCTCGATTTAGAAGTTTCAATATGGCGGAGATGGCCGGGGAGCCCTTCTCCGGGCAAAAATGATGGCGTCGGTGTTAAGACGGCCTCGGTCTTCTGGCCCATGAGCTTTTGTCGGGTAACCCGGGAGGAGTTGCCGGTCATGCCCAGCGTTGCTGCGCCGGCAGCGGGAGCAAGGTTCTCCTCGCTGCTGATGTCCCTGCTCCCTCACCGTCGGCAGAGGTCGAAGGTCACACAAGATAAGAAATAACTGCACTCCTTATGCTCGATTGATTACACCCCGATCATGGAAGTATCATCTACCGGACGAGATTATGCATAAGATCCGAGAGGAGCTTCTCCCTTGTCACTCAAAAGGCAACATTTTTAATCATTCGATCTTACAGAGAAGTGATTAATCGTAATCTAAACCTCAAGCCCATAATGAAATCGAAGGGATGTTGTGGTCAACGGCGAGCCCGTCGTCAGCGCCGTCGCAGTCGAAGCGCCAATGGCCAGAACCGGAGATCCTCTCACGAAGATGACGAGGAGGCTGAATTACCCTGACCCATTGGAGATCGCCATGAATAGTGCCCCCTCCCGACAAGAGCTACCAGAGGACGGACATGCGCGGCGCCTGATCGTGGTAGTGTGAGATTCTAATGGCAGGTGAATTCTGCAATTTCATCTTTTACTACCTGCCGGCGCCGTTTCTGCTTGAACGCCGCCGCTGACTCCATCACTTTGACTTTGCCCCCCATATTTATATTAGGAGGTATGTGACGTAGACCACGAGCGCTCCACGGAATGCTCCTGACCTGGCTGGTGCCAAATAAAAGTTCGGCCAGCTGGCCGGTGGACGGGGGGAACCTACCCCTCGAAAGCAGTCGATCCGGTTGGGAGTGATAAAGCGGAGGAAAAGACAAACCTTGGGATCATCCCACCGACTAAGATCTTAGATCTACGGTTTGTGATCTTGGTCACTCAATCTGCTGCGGTTCCTCTATTTGCTCCTGTGAATGATCTTAGATCGAGCAAGATCCAAGGGGGAGACGACGATCGGGGGAGGAATGGTTGGAGAGGTGATGTGGCGCTTGTGGCTTCCAGTATGAGCGCCACCGCATGAGAGAGCGAGGGAGAGAGAGAGAGAGAGAGGTTAGCTCCGACGCTTGGGTTGCTCAATTCTGATATTAACAACCACCGATGAACAAGGAGGATCTGGCGCATGCTGAGCCAGAGGAGGGCGATGACGCGCGGCCCAGAAAATTCAAGAGGACTGACGTACCTCGCGTTGACCTACTGTACGAGAAGTCATCCCATAAAACCAAGGCGTGGTGCCCGGAATGAATATCAGCACAGTTCTCATGCAGGTGTTGGAGATCAAGATAGCCTCCCGGAGCTGTGATCGCTAGCTTTCAGATTATGGAAGACACACTTTCCCGTATGATCCTTCTTTCTGAGAGCACTCGTTCTGTTCTTCTGCCAGGCTACTGTTCTTCGATCTCCCTCCTCGCAGCTACCATTCCATCTCCTGAAACTTAGTCGGTGTCCAGGAACCGTAAAGAGATGGGTGAAGTTCACTTTCTTGGGAAGAATAGATCAAAGTCACTGTTTCTCGTTCCCAACCACGGCAGCCGCCTCATGGACGGATATTACTGCTCTTTAGCTGAATGGTTCGCATGAAACATCCCGCGTCTGCGGAGAATGTTTGGCAACATCTATGGGAGATGTGATCATACCTGCAGGCATGCAAGATGTGCTCAATATCTATTAGAGAGGGTGTGTAGTCAAATGTCTATCGGTCCAGTTCGGACCAAAGGGCGGGTCTTCATGCAGCCGATGGAGACTCCGAAAAGCTGCCATTTACGTCTGAGTGACCCCTGGATGGGGGGAGGAGGCGACTTTCTTCTCCTAGAAATAGGTCACACCCACGAATTTCACGCATGAAATTTTCTGACCGGGATTGTGACATCGAGAGTCTTGTTTCTTCGGCTGATTTTCTGATCGACACTCGACCTCGTTTCAGCCTGCCTTCGATCCTCTGGTTCATCCCGGGCTTGTGGTGACCATGTTGGAACCAACTTGATCATCGTCAGATTCGTTTGAAGGGAGAGGGGAAGATAGAGAGAGGAGTATGAATTCCCTATCTCTATCTTCTCATGACTACGCTGCTGTTCTAGAGGGCAGCAGGGCTTCGAGAAGCCTCTCCACACGGGTATGATCCTTCCACAGCCTCCTTTATTCCCGAGCACAGGAGGGTTTGTTTCTTCGGGAAGTAAGTGACAGCGGCCGTCGATCGAAGGAGACAACGAACGGCGGAGCTCGGTGGCGGAGAGGATTATTGAGGGGGGGGAGGAGGTGGCGTGTGTACTCATCTGCGGTGGGGGACTCCGACGATGACAAAGGATCGCTTGATTTCTTTATCTTCTGTCTGGCGAGTCGGCGCACGTCATCTCTTCTCGACTGATTTGATAAACCTAATAATTGCACTAGTTGGTCAATCCGGATGAAAGAAATCCAAAAACACACAATAGGTTAATGTATATGTATATATCATCAACAACAAGCCAGAGAGAGAGAGAGAGAGAGAGAGAGAGAGAGAAAACTGTGGGGGGCGGAGCGGATTAGCGAGAGGGAAGATCAACATTGCGGAATTCCTGGTTCCTCAGACTGAGTAGATAACGCGATCCCGTGCTACGAGTGAGATTGAGAGCGAGAGAGAGAGAGAGAGAAAGACGTCGACGTGTCGGTGTGGCGTAGGGAGCTCGTTCTCCTTGCCGGCCGTCCGAGGGACGGCGGCCATGGGTTTCCTTACCGTCACTCTCTTCCCCGAGCATCAATAATGCAATACTTAATCAAACCTTGACGTGACGACCGGCCTACTCTGTCTTCCAATGGCTCGCGGCAGCTCCATTATGTGATCCGCTGCCGATTATCCCCGCCCAGGAGAGTATCACAGTTCTGACGCAACCGCGTCTAGAACAGAGCCTGGTTGTACTCTCTCTCTCTCTCTCCATTATTGAACATCTACTAATTAAATGAGACCCATTATTTTAGTATGGCTGCCATCGTCGAGGCAAATCCGCTGCGTTCTGACAGAAACTTTGATCGTATTATGTGAGTTTTCTATGAAACCTGTCGAGAAATCATAGCAGTTGACTTTCTCCCCCGATGAAGACGTCCCATCCTTCGACCCTCTGACTTTGGAGAGCTCCTGGTCCATAGTCGACAAAATGCAAGTTGACCGTCCACAAATCATGCCATTCGTGAAGAAACCGAAACAGGGACCTAAAGATGCGTCAGATTCATTGCCGTCGACGCCTCTCTCTCTCTCTCTCTCTCTCTCTCTCTCTCTCTCTCTCTCTCTCTCTCTCTCTCTCTCTCTCTCTCTCTGTCTCTCTCTCTCTACACTATCTGTTCATGAGACGTCCGATACTCGCAGAGAGAGAGAGAGAGAGAGAGAGAGAGAGAGAGAGAGAGAGATAATGAGAGGCGTGGTCCTCGTTCTACCTCTGTCTGCTCGAGGACGGCGTGGCAAATAAAAGTATTCCCCTGCAACGGAGACTTTCGCTTGCTAATTCTCAGTTATCCATGTGGATAAAGGAATCTCTCCCTCCCCCCACCCCGCGACGATTCGGACGATAAGCAACCGGCGGTGTCCCGAGGCTTCCCGAGGAGAAGCCGACCACGGAAAGCTGCGTCGAAGAGCCGTGAGGGTCCACCCGCCGTGTAGTTCCCGAGAGATTTAATCGTAGGGCTAATGAGGATAAACGGCCGTCGTTCAGATAGAGAAAGGGCGAGCCTTGCCGGAGCTTAGCGCCGCCGGCAAGCACCGGCTTGCAAAAAGCCCACCGTAGATCGCCGGAGCAAACACTGAGTCCCCGTGTGAGGACCGAGAACGGCGGTGGAGGGGGGGGGGGGGGCGGGGGGGTTTGACGAAGACGGCGGCGACCCACCGTTCCTCCTCCCGCCCCAATCAATAGCGTAAGATCCTCGTCAGAAGGGATAATCTTTTATGCCCACCACTCCTGCTCCCCTCTTCCATCTCTATCTCCCTCCATCTTTCATGCCTCCATGGAGATTATCAGAAGCCAAATGGAGACGAGCCCAATGGACGGACTTATCAATCGAAGCTCCTCTCTATCTCTCTCTCTCTCTCTCTATTAATCTGAACCCTGACGACACTTGGAGCAGAGTTTCCACAACGTGGAGGAATTGACCTGACTGTGTGCCATGTGATGATGCGGGCGGTTACGGGGGCGCCTCGGAGGCTCGCTGTCAACTATGACGCGCGTGGCGATTCTGCGCCCACTGTAGGGAATATCCCGAGAGCCACGTGGACTCCGACGCATTATAGTTTACATATGCGTCATTCATCCACGTGGTTAATTACGCGATCACGCGAAGACGACCACGATCGATTGACATTTAACCCTTTTGGCCTCGTACTTGGCGGCGTCAGCTCCTCGAAATCTCCCGAATCGCATTCGAATCTGGTTCGACGGGTTATCAAGTCTGCTAATGACCGTCCAATCCTATCGTTGACTTCATCGCCACCCTCTCATCTCTGCAAGTCAAACCACGTGGCAGAGGCATCGGTGAGGTCATCCCCTCTATCTGCCTTTTCCTGGTCTGTGGGGTCATCCCCTGTTATCTGTTACCCTCGCTTTTCTCTCTCTCTCTCTCTCTCTATAAATTGCGAGCGCGTGGGCGGATGGACCTGGAAGATCAGACGACAACGTCCTTCTTCATATCCTTTTCCCACCGATCGGGAGCTCATTCCTCTCGCGAGGAAAAGAAGAGAGCAGAGGATTCGCTTCTCTCTTTCTCTCTCTACCACCCAAGAACAAAGGAGAGGGCGGCACCAGTGCACACGGTGAGCAGGTAAGGGAAGATAACTTATTCACTGTGGACGTTGTTGTTGGTTGTGGCCACAGAGGCGGCTCTGTCGTCCCTGGAGAGGTCCCGCCCGTCCGTCTAGGGCCTCCTCCCCGGTGGATGAGGATCCGTGCTGTGCGGAAATCTTCCGATTTCTTTTCCTCGCGTCCTCCTTCCCCGGCCTAACGTGATGTGTGTTATCTGTTGTGACTGGCGATGCAGTAGCGGTAGGGGCGACAGCCGGCGACAGCGAGATGGCGGGGAGCGGGACAACGGCGGCGGGGTGCTCGGCGCCGATGAAGGCGACGTCGAACGGGGCGTTCCAGAAGGACAACCCGCTAGACTTCGCGCTGCCGCTCATCATCCTCCAGATCTGTCTCGTGGTTCTGCTCACCCGGGGGATCGCCTTCCTCATCCGCCCCCTCCGCCAGCCCCGCGTCATCGCCGAGATCATTGTACGCCCCCCTTCCCTTCTTCTTCCTCCTCCGATCTGTTCCTCTGTTTATTCGTTCCTGCGGATCGACGGCGGGGTACCCCCCCTCTGAAAATCGGTCGCTCGCTGACTCGCTGATTTATTCGTTGTGTGTGCCTGCTTCCAGGGGGGGATCTTGCTCGGTCCGTCTGCGCTGGGGCGGAGCAAGACGTTCCTGAACAACGTGTTCCCGTCCAGGAGCCTGACGGTGTTGGACACGCTCGCCAACATCGGGCTGCTCTTCTTCCTCTTCCTGGTGGGGCTGGAGCTGGACCTGCGGGCCATCCGCCGCACCGGAAAGAAGGCCCTCGCCGTCGCCCTCGCCGGCATCTCCCTGCCCTTCGTCCTCGGCATCGGGACCTCCGTGGTGCTGCGCTCCACCGTCGCCAAGGGCGTGCGCCCGGCCCCCTTCCTCGTCTTCATGGGGGTGGCGCTCTCCATCACCGCCTTTCCCGTGCTGGCCCGCATCCTCGCCGAGCTCAAGCTCCTCACCACCGACGTCGGTCGCATGGCCATGTCCGCCGCCGCGGTCAACGACGTGGCCGCCTGGATCCTCCTGGCCCTGGCCATCGCCCTCTCGGGATCGGGGTCCGCTCTGGTCTCCCTCTGGGTGCTCCTCACCGGCGCCGCCTTCGTCGTCTTCGCCGCCCTCGTGATCCGGCCGTGCATCGGGTGGATGGCCCGCCGCTCCCCCGAGGGTGAGCCCGTGAAGGAGATCTACATCTGCGCGACGCTCACGGCCGTGCTCGCGGCGGGCTTCGTGACGGACTCCATCGGCATCCACGCGCTGTTCGGCGCCTTCGTGGTGGGCGTCGTGGTGCCCAAGGACGGGCCCTTCGCCGGCGTGCTCATCGAAAAGATCGAGGACATCGTCTCCGGCCTCTTCCTGCCGCTCTACTTCGTGTCCAGCGGCCTGAAGACGAACGTGGCAACCATCAGCGGCGGGCAGTCCTGGGGGCTGCTAGTCCTCGTCATCGTCACCGCTTGCGTGGGCAAGATTGCCGGCACTGTCATCGTCTCGCTGCTGGTGCGGGTTCCCCGGCGGGAGGCCCTGGCTCTGGGGTTCCTGATGAACACCAAGGGCCTGGTGGAGCTCATCGTCCTGAACATCGGCAAGGACCGCAAGGTACTCAACGAGGAGACCTTCGCCATCATGGTGCTGATGGCCCTCTTCACCACCTTCATCACCACCCCCATCGTCATGGCCGTGTACAAGCCCGCCAGGCAGGCGGCACCGTACAGGCACCGCACCGTGATGCGCTCCGACAGCGAGTCCGAGCTGCGAATCCTGGCCTGCTTCCACAGCACGCGCTCCATCCCGGGCACCATCAACCTGATCGAGACCTCCCGGGGAATCCGCCGCCGGGGAGTCACCGTCTACGCGATGCACCTCATGGAGCTCTCCGAGCGGTCGTCCGCCATCTCCATGGTCCACAAGGCCCGCCGCAACGGGCTCCCCTTCTGGAACAAGGGCCTCCCCACCGAGACCGGCTACCACATCATCGTCGCCTTCGAGGCCTACCAGCAACTCAGCAGCGTCTCCATCCGCCCCATGACGGCCATCTCCGACCTCGCCACCATCCACGAGGACATCGTCACCAGCGCCCAGCAGAAGCGGGCCGCCGTCATCCTCCTCCCCTTCCACAAGCACCAGCGCCTTGACGGCACCCTCGAGTCCCTCGGCAGCTCCTTCCAGCACGTCAACCAGCGCGTCCTCCGGCACGCTCCCTGCTCCGTCGGCATCCTCGTCGACCGCGGCCTCGGCGGCGCCGCCCAGGTCTCCTCCAGCGACGTTTCCTGCTCCATCGCCGTCCTCTTCTTCGGCGGCCGCGACGACCGCGAGGCCCTCGCCTACGCCCTCCGCATGGCAGAGCACCCGGGCATCCAGCTCACCGTCCTTAGGTTCCTGGCCCTCCCTGGGAAGGCCCTCATGGAGACCAGCAGCAGAAGAGGCGTAGCCACCGTCGACGCCGAGGCCGACGACGGATTCGCCGACGACGGCGTCCTCGCCAGCTTCCGGACCACGGCGGCGGCTTCCGACGGGTCGATCACCTACGAGGAGAAGACCGTGGGGGGGAAGACCGACATCATCGCCGCCATCAAGGCGGGGGGGCGGATCAACCTGTTCCTGGTGGGACGGTCCCCTCCCGTCTCTGCTCTAGTGGGGAGGACAGACTGCCCGGAGTTGGGCCCCGTGGGGAGCTACCTCGCCTCGTCGGAGTTCTCCACCACCGCCTCCGCTCTGGTTCTCCAGCAGTACGACCCCAACGGCAACCACAAGCTCCTCGTAGAAGAAGTCGCGGAGGTACGCGAGGTTCCCGACACCCCTGACGTCAACCGCTCCGGCCGCGGCATCCTCCCTGTCTGATACGCTCCCCGGTCAACGACGCGCCATCGCTGACGTCGCCCCACAGAAAATCCTATCCTTCGACAACGATTTGATTCCCCCCTTCCCTCCTTCCTCCCCTAACGGAGAACGAGGCAGGAGGACCCATCAGATGTGTGTGCAGTAGTAGTAGTCGTCCAATATGGTGGGGTAAGACATTCCCCCTCCCTCTCAATAAGACCACAACTCCTACTCCCACCGCTCCTCTTTGTAACTCCATCCATAGCAGTCGGGAGATTCTCATGTACATCCCTGTAGAGAGAGAAAATACCGATCAAAGAAGAAGAAGAAGAAGAGGAGATAGACTGAAATGTTCATTTTAGTCTCATTCCGAGTGAACAGAGTGACGCAAAAGATGAGCCCATCTCCACCTGCCCCTTATCTCCCCCCGCCGTTATCGACCTCAGCCATGGCCATCGCCGCGGGGACCAACAGGAGCCAGCCGAACCAGGGGGCCACCTCCTGCGAAGTATTTCTTTACTGTGGGAGGTCACCTCCCACGCGACTTCTCCATCTTCCTCTGCCGGGGTTTTTCTCTAGATATTCAAGGCGGATCGACTCAGACCAGGCCAGACTTGTGATTCAAGTTGGGTTCGTTGGGGTTTAGGTTTATGGGTGGGGCTGCCGACGGTAAGCGCAGCGGCAGAGGAAACGGGGAAGCCCAGTGACCACTGCCGGTCATAGTCTGCCATCTACCGCGCCTCAACCCGACCGACGAAGGGCATGGCTGAAATTCCAATTTTCAGTCTTTACCGCCCCTCACCGCGGCGGCGATGAGGGAACCCAAGATGGGGCAGACGAGGTCGACTCATGAAGAGGGCGGGCTCAAAGCTCTCGCGATCTTCAAAGATCGACGCGGACGCTAACGAGATTGCAATGCGTTGACGATTTAATAATCCTCTCGTTGACGAGGGAAAGAGCGCAGCTTTCGTGAACAAGATGAGACATAAAACGACGAGGATCAGGATCGAAGGATCGCCACCGTGGTGCTGCTATTTTTCTCCGTTTTATTGGACTTTCAAATGGGGAGTTCCACCGCCACAACGTTTTACAGTGAGATAATGTCCGAGAGGCGCTTCTTCTCACGAACCGAGCGTGCGCCGCCGGCTGGTCGACTCGAGAAAGTCGCAACGGCGGGCGGCGCCGCTCGACGGGATCGAGGGGGGAACCGCCGGCGCCTGGCCTCGAAGCAGCAGCAGGCACGGCGGAGCCCGTGCCAGAGCACGCGACGGAGACGGCGGGCGGCCCGGAGCTTGGCGCAGAGGAGGCGGCGGAGGCCCGCGAGACGCCGCCCCGCCCTCTTGTCACCCTCCGCCCGCTCGCGAGAGAAGAGGTAGCTGCGGAGGAAGAGCTGGCGCCTCTCCAGATGCTCTTGGTCCAATAAGGGTGAAGCCTCCGGCAGCCTGAAGGAGGGCAGCCGGAAGGAGGGCGCCCTGACGCTGGATATCTCCGCCATCACAGTCCTCAAAACCCCCACTGCTCAGCCGTTCCACGCCATGCATATATAGCCCCTAGCCAGTGACTGCATGGCGACTGCACCCTGCGCAGACAAGCCACACTAACCCCTCACGTCTCTCTTTCTCACTAGATGGATTTGGTCAGGTTTGGTCGTTTCCCCGGGCTAACCTTATCGGTAAAGCAGGTAGACTCATGTCCTAGCTCCGTCCTTCCCTCTCTACCACCACCTACCACGACCGTTCGTTACCACCCTGCGAGTTAATCTACCCTTTTTCCGGGCACGGGATGGCGGGGGATGGAGAGGCGGCGCGCGGGTGGCGTGTGGGTCTTTCCCACAGCAGGGCCGGCTCTCCTTATCCCGTCCGCTCGCGTCATCGACGAGGCTTCTCCTGCAAGTTCAGCAATTCTCGCGGACTACAGGAAGAATATGGAGGAAACAGAGGAAGATGCTCGTTCTACTATCCATCCAACCCGCTGTAGCAGGCTTATCAGGATCGTTCTCCACGAAACGAATTCGCGTCGCTCCAGAAGACGGCCGTCGAGGAGGGAGAAGATCCCAGGGATCGCCGCTGCAGCCCTTCCCGTCTTCACTGGTTGTCCAGGGCGAGGTCACGCCATGTGTCCGCCTCCACCTGCTGGTTCTCCAGATCTGCCCATTTTCGCCAGCGAACCCATCACAAATCACAGCGGCAGAGGATGGAGGAGATTAAGAGAATGAGATAAATGGAAACTCTAAAAGGTGATCAGGGCGACTGCGGACTGGTTTCCCCCCAATCTCTCGAGCCGCCAGTACAGAAAACTACCGCATCTTCCTACGACGCATTTCCCCGAGCATCTAAGAGGCGGAAAGCCATCCTCGAGGAAGGGGAAGCGAGCAAAGGGAGGGGAGGAGTGGGGAAAGTGGGAGACACGTACTGGAATCTTCGGCGTCCTCGACACGGAGGGCAACCTCAGAGGGCAGAGGGATCTCTGCAGGAGGTTTCATCAGGGCGGCGGCCGTCAGAACCCATCTGGTGAGGACGCAGCAAGAACCGATCTAGAGAGAGAATGAAAAATCACCGTCGTCGGGGAGGGTGTCCCGCATCCACTCCTCATCCAGCACATCCAGCAGTATCCCCATGCTCAGCAGCTCCGCCGCCGCCGTCGACATCTTCGTCTCCGTCTCTGCCGTCGTTCTCTCTCTCTCTCTCTCGAAAAATGAGATTTTTGATGACGGGCGCCTGTACCGAGTTCGCCCGCATTGAGGAGGAAGGACCACCGTCAGATCCTCACGGCATTGGACGGTTCCGATGAACGCCCCTTTCCTTCGCAGCGAAGGAAGATCCCTGCGGGCGGGAGGGAGAGGGAAGACGACGAAAGGAGGCAAGCATAAAAATATGGCGGAAGGTGGGGGGCAGGCGAGGGGGGAGGAAGGAGCCGCCTTCCTCCGGCGGCGGTGCCGTTCCTCCGGTGGTCGTCTTCGCCGTCGGATAGAGGAGAGGGACGCCGACGGCGGCGGAGCATGGGGGTGCTGTCGAACATGATTGACCGCGAGCAGCTAAAGCCCGGCGACCACATCTACTCCTGGAGAAGGGGCTACATCTACGCTCACCACGGTGCGTCCTACAACCTCGCCGCCATCTTCTTCCCCGGAATCCCCTGATGCGACCGTGGGCGGTCGATCGTCGGGAGGAGAGCTCTGCTCGTCGATGGAAATCTCCTCCCGACGCTCGATGGACCACGATCGCCGGCGTTCCTGCGGCGGACGATGAACGAGCCGCAGGAACGCCGTGGACGGCCGCGTTCCTCTCTCAGATTGCGGCGTAACGCTGATTATATTTTTTTTCATTTTTGACAGGGATCTATGTGGGCGATGGGAACGTCGTCCACTTCACCAGGGGAGGTGAAGAGATCGGGACGGGGACCGTCTTCGATCGGCTTCTGTCCAGCTCCGTCCCTTCCTGCCCCGACTCCCCCTGCGAGCAATGCGGCGATCAGAGCGCGCTCAACGGAGTCATCGAGTCCTGCCTCGACTGCTTCCTCTCCGGCAACGATCTCTACATATTTTGTTACTCGGTCTCGCTCGCCTTCTTCATCTCCAAGGTTCGAGGCGGCACCTGCACTTTCGCGTCATCGGACCCAGCCGCCGACGTCATCCACCGCGCGAGGTACCTCCTCCGGCACGGCTTCGGCGCATATGACCTATTCAAGAACAACTGCGAGGACTTCGCAATCTATTGCAAGACGGGCCTGCTGGTGACGACGAGCTACAGCGTGGGGCGCAGCGGGCAGTGGGGGTGCATAGTGTCCGCTGCCAGTGCCATAGCCGGCTCCCCCCTCCGCTTTCTGTCGAGCAGCTTTGGCGGGCTGGCGGTGGTCACGAGCGGCATATACTGCCTGAACCGAGTGGTCTCCGACATCGGGATTAGGAGGGACGTCGCCAAGCTCCCCGTTGAGGAACTTGTGTTGAGCTCTGGCTCCGCCGCCGGTGAAGCCGAGTCCTTGTTCCGAAGAATTGTAGCCTGAGTCTGTTGGACATGTGTTCTGAGCTGTTCGCCTCTATATCTCTACATCTCCCTCCGAAGACAAGCAATTTCCTCTGGAAACTCAATTTTTAAATATTATAGAAGAGAAATCACTAAGTTATTCAAGATCTTGATGAGACTAAGACTTTTACTAAACATCTTTAATCTACATCTTAATGTCTTTTAGATGACTCACACATTAAGAAGAGAGATCAAAAAAGAAGGAAAGAGTTAATAGAGAGAAGATATAATCAAGAGAGAGAGGGAGAGAGATAAATCTCGTCACCCATCATATTAAAAAAAGAAATATATGTCATATTTATAAAAAATAGGAAAAAATAATCGTCTTAAAAAAAGAGGTATTTCGATCTACATGCAGGTGAGACTTATTTCACACTCCCTCACTCCTTATACGACCCTCAAACGAGTCTAAAGGAATGAGGTGACAACTATTTCTTACTTCTTACACATCTCCTAAGTGAGTCATAAGGGAGAAGCTCTTTCTCACATCTCTCGAACAATTGAGACAAGAGATGGCTCCTCACACATCTCTCAAATAAGTTAATCATGATGGACTAACACTGTCAATAAACTCCACCTTGACAGTCATCATCACTGTACTTAAAGTTATCTGTTCATACTATAAGTTCTCCACCTTCTACAAGATACCTACAATATAAATTAAATTCAAATAATATTTAAACATTTATATTGTGATGACTTTCGTCAACATAAATGCGGTATTCTCTTTTATGTGAACCTTCTATAGAAAGATATCTTCATAATTCACCAACTCACAGATTTTGTGATATCACATATCAATATATTTCGATTGTGTATGATAAACTTAATTCTTTACTAAGTAAATAACATTTTAACTATCACATTGTAGAGTAACTTTATTCTATTAGATCCTAAGTTCACTCAATAATCTCTTCAACTACAAGACCTTTATAGCTACTTCAATAGCAGTCATATACTCTACCTCAATTGTAAATAATGCAATAATAGTTGAAAGTATAAACTTCCAACTCACAAGTCCACCAGCCACGGTGAAAACATATAATGTCGTAGATCTTTAATGATTTAAATCTTCAAAAAATCTACATCAATCAAATTAATAGTAGAAAGACAGCTTTGTTGGTCAAAATAGATTTGAAAATCTAAATAACCCTTTAGATATCGGAGAATCTATTTTATTGCGCTCCAATATTCTTTTCATAAATTGTTCATTAACCTATTAACAAGCCTAACAACATGAGTAATATTTAGTCTTCTACAAATCATAACATATATGAGAGAGCTAATTATACTAACATAAGAAATTTACTTCATCTCAATAATATCTTATTTAGATGTCATAAACTTAGTAGATAATTTGAAATGACTAGTCAAAAGAATACTTACTGTTTTAGCATTACTCATTCCAAACAAATTCACTACTTTTAAGAAATAACTTCTCTGAGTCAACCATAGTTGACTTAACTTTTGGTCTCTATAGATCTCCATACCAAAAATCTTCTTTACTACACTAAGATTCTTCATGTCAAATTTTCTATTAATATGAATTATTTAAAACAATGAGCATATCATCAACATAGAGCATCAAAATAATAAAAGAATTATCACAAGTTCTCAAATAAATACAATAGTCAAAATTATATCTCGTATCACTATCTTAATGTCTACTTCAACTCATAAAGTGACTTTTTCAATTGACATATAAGATGTTTTGACCCTTATACAATGAAACTTTTTGACTACTATATGTAAATAATTTTTTCTAAATCTTCATAGAGTAATGTTGTTTTCACATCTAATTGTTTAAACTTTATATCTTTATGTGCAATAATAGCTAATACCAAGTAAATAGATGTGTGCTTCATAACATACAAAAAGATCTCTATATAATTAATTTCGTATTTTTTTATTTTTATAATAAAGTCTTGTCTTGTACTATGATTGGTCACCATCAATCATTGATGACTTTTTCTTGTACACTCATTTGTACTTAATAGCTCGCTTCTTTGTAAGATGATTAACTAATTCTAAAATGTAATTTTTGTCTAAAGATGCTCACTTCTCAAATATCGTTTATAGTCATTTCTCTTTTTCAAAACATCTAATTACCTCCTGAAAAGTTGTAAGTTCGTCATTTCTTATAATTAATACAAAATCAATATAATCATTAAGACAAGTAAGAGACCTTACTTTACACTTACTCCATTTAGTAATAATATAATTAGTAACATTTGATGATTCAACAACTCGTTCTTCACTCACAATAGAACTAAGAGGATTCTGTACAATCTCCACTTCTAATCTTACTTTATCTTCAATACAAATATCATTAGATGTTTGAATTTTATGTCATGTAGAAAATGACTTCAACATGTGATCTTCATCAAAGATCACATTCTTATTGAAAATAATCTTTTTAGTCTCTGAATCCCAAAGTCAATATCACTTCACATTAGTCCTAGAGCTCAAGAAAATACATTTCCTCGACTTTAGATCCAACTTGATTTTTCATCAAAATGTAAAGACATATCCTAAACATCTAAATATATGCAAATTTGAATAGTCAACAAGATTTTTAGTCCATACATCTTCAACAACTTTCTCATAAAGAGCATAATTTAATAATCTATTTATTAAATAAGTTGTCATAGTCACAATTTAAATTCAAAACTCATTAGACATGTCGATATTTAATTATAAATATTATACTCTCTTAGCAATCATGCAGACTATTTATTCAAGAACACCATTTTGCTGCGGAGTCTTTTTTATCATATAATGATGTTGAATATCATGCTCATTATAAAATTGGTCAAACTCAAAATTCTTAAATTTTGTATCATTGTTAATCTACAAGACTTTGATCTTTCTCTCCATTTGATTTTCTACCTTCACACACAATCTTGAACTTTGTAAATACTATTGATTTATGTTTCAAGAAGAATACTTAAACTTTGATAAAACCATCAACAAAGGTCAGAAAATAATGAGTACCACCCATCGACATCACATCAATTGAACTTCACACATCTAAATGAATATAATCTAACACACCATTTGTATCATATTTTATTATCTTGAATGTCAATTTGTATTATTTGTCTATAATACAATACTTATAAAAATCTAATTTATAAATTTTCACATTAGGTAATATTCCTCGTTTATGTAACTTCTGCATACATGTTTCACTCATATGACCCAATCGTAAGTGTCATAAAAGAGTGTCATCAATTATAGAATCATTTGATATTACAACACATGCTCTACCTATAATAGTACTTTCCTCAATTTTATAAATATTTGTTCATTGACATTTTTCTTTCATCACAACGAGCAGTATCTTGATAATCTTTAAGATTTCATTATCTTATTTGAAGTAATATTTATGTATTTCTAATACTACAAGCGAAATCAAATTATAGTGCAATGCTAGAATATTACAAACATTTCTACACTCTCAAATCACTCTATTAAATAGATGAACCTTCATTGAATCAATGACAACTACTTCGTAATTTATGTTATTTCTCATCAACTCATGTTGTACTTTTGTATGAGTCAAATCAATCAATATTATGATACATGATAAAAATGACTAGTATTAAAAAAAAAATTGTTCAACAACTTCTCAATTGTAACAAAGTCATAATAGACTTCACCATTTTCTTTGTCATTAACTTTCGTACTCTTAGTTGAATTTGATTCATCTCTTATTATCTTATCCTTAAGGTTCTTTTGAAAATCTCTTTGCAAATATCCCTTCTCATAACACTTATGAGAAGTTTAATTTTTCAGTCAATTTATTCATGACTTTGATCGACTTTTCTTGTCTCTTGACAATTTTTTCTCCTTCTACCTTCCATGTTCTCTTCCACACTTCACATATAAACTCTCACCATAAGTCTCACTAACATTCTTCTTTTGATGATAATACTTTATTAATAAGTCAATAACATCTTTAAGAATATATGTTGTACTACAATACAACAAGATCGTAACAAGATGATCATATGAATCAAAAAGAGAAATAAGCAGAGTAATAATTTTATTCTTATTAGAAAATTTTGATTTTATATGAAATAAGTCATTCAACAATTGATTAAAATAATCAATATGAGATGTCAAATCATCTCTATTTAACATGCATAACCCAAATAACTTTTTCTTTAATGTCAATTTTCTCATCATCAAATTTAGTACACATCATTTCTTTAACTTCGTCTATACTTCTTTTGAATTATATTCATTCATGATCAATTGAAGAGCCAATCAAATAGATATGTGAGAATAAAAATTTTAGCCTTCTTCTTTATTATCTCTCAATCATTAGCATTGATCTTGCTTGATTTTGATCTATCTAAAATCTTATACAAATTAGTCTACAACAATACATAATATACATAATACTTCTAGAGATTAAAGTTAAAAGATTTATCTAACTTTTGGATGTCAATGTGTACCTTAAACACCATATTAAATCTAAAAATAATCAAATCAAAGCTCTAATATCATTTGTTAGAATAAATTGGTAAGTACATGATCTGAAATAATAGTAGAGACTCAATTTGTGAATATCAATAAGAACAAATAAAAGAAAAATTACCAAACTATTATGAATCTTAATGATAATAAAACTTATACTAGACACCTCTAATTTATGTCTCAACTAGAGAGAAAAGATAAGAAGTTATGACGAAATAAACACTCACACCTATCTTGTTTTAACCTTTTTTTTTCTTGGACACAATGTGATATGAGCTCATTTAGAGATTATTTGTCATGTTGACAATTATAACTCGCCTTAAATTGACTAAATTATGTAGGAATAGAAATCAAAACTAAGTACATGAACAAATCTTCTGATAGTTCTAATTTTAGTAATTTTAATTTTGACGTAAAATGAGATATCTCAAAAATATACTCTTATATTTTCTTTGTCTTTATAATTTATAGATATAAGCTTTATTAAGATTGTACTCAAGAAAAACTCTTGTTATATTGACTTTTTCAAATGAAATGTCCATGAAATCTTCTAGAATGACACACTTCATGATAATAAGGTTTACGTAATTTGATTGATTTCACTTTTTCATATCTTTTCTATTCTCAAGAGAGTTTGTTGGATGATCTTTTCTTAATGCAATATCTAGATCTATGTAATTGAGAACTATCATAACATTTTCTTTTCATGTATTAAAGTTGGTGTCATTTAACATGGGAATAGAGTTGATATGAACAGAAATAATAGAAATAGAATTTGAAACTATACAAAAAATAATATAAAGCTTACATAAGTAATCTGATTTTCATAATGATACTTTTTATCACAAGATATCAACTATAATACTAATACTCTCTCTTTGGACAATAATATTAACTACAAGTAATATTTTGGTGTGATGAATAAATATTGATAATAATTATCACATATTATTATCATAGATATAATTAATTTGTAAAACACTAAAGTTTTATTTAGGCCAATTAATATCCACAAATCACATACACAACATCTCAAATGTTAGAAAAATTAATCTCCACAATAAAGTTTACTTTGGTAGGATGTTGCTTTAATTAATAATTATAAAATATCAGATATACCAAGATTTGAAGTATGATAGTTATTTAACATTTATTCATGTTCAATATAAACATAACTATTAAAAAATTCAAATAACTTTATGAATAATTTTTAAAATAAAATTATTAATAATATTTTATGGGCATGGTGTCATACGATCAAATGCTGACATCATCACTAAAGACCGGGACCGTAGCTAACCAGATTGGCTAATACTGAGTCAATGTCCGTCTATCTTAATCGGCGCAGTAGACCGTTCCTGCTGTCCAGCTCGTGCCAAGCTGGTCACCCGAAATAAATTAAATGACGTCCAAAATAAAGATTTTATGAGCATGGTGTCATACGATCAAATGCTGACATCATCACTAAAGACTGGCACGATAGCTAACCAGATCGGCTAATACTGAGTAGTGTCCGTCTATCTTGATCAGCGCAGCAGACCGTTCCTGCTGTCCAGCTCGTGCCGAGCCGGTCACCCGAATCGGCGCTTGGTATATGAACCGTCGCTTGACGTTTCCTCTCCCATCCGGCATTCATCGAAAACGGTGCGGCCATTTCACGTGGTAATCGGTGGCCAGGGGCCTCAATCGCCGCATGACGGCCGGTGCCTGAACCGTCGTGTGACAATTCATTTCCCATCCAGCACCACACAGAAAACGGTATGGTCATTTCACACGGTGGCTGGTGCACAAACTGTAGCACGAAGGGAGAAGCCTATTGAGCCACGTCGGATCGGTCCAAAGGGGAGCAGGATACCGGGTTGTTCCGGTGCCTTAGGGCTTAGAATGGTCGGCCCAAAATGGTCTCCCATCCGAAAAATAGAGCCCTACCTGGTTAGGAGCGTGCGGAAGCCACCGCAGCCCTTTGCCTCCAGCACAGCCTTTTGGAACCCTCTGTCGTAGTCCTGGGGCTCCTCTTTGCCTTCTGGTGCCCTCTGGCGTCCAGACATCCGGAAGCGCTGTTCACCGTTCTTGAGCCTTTCGTCCGACGACGTAAAGGGGAAATAGGAATGGTTGGGCTCTCTTACAGCCCCCGATTTCTGAATGGAAATCTTCCTTCAAGAAAAAGGGAGGAATAGAGGTGTGCAGAAACCACCGCTCCTCCTCTGCAAAGAATGAAGAAGAATCAATAGTCGACAAATCCATTTGCATGGTCTGTACGGCCCATTAGTATGTCTATGGTAGACGACCAAATCCGTAATATCACTTGTTGAATCTAAAGGATCTAATGTTAAGATAAATGAAGAATGATATAATATGATGAGAATAGATTAAAGTCATACTTGAATATATAAAGGTGCAAGTATAATGATAACCTTTTAGATCAGCATAGACGAGTCATCCAATGACTTTACTCAAAAGAGATAGGATATTTAAGAGTGACTCTTAATATGTGATCTAATGATCATGACCCCTTATTTATAGACAATATTTTGCTAGCATGTTGGTGTCTTTTTTTAATTTAACTTATTACAAAATTATAATAAGACTTGGTATCTATACATATTTATATTTATAGCTAGACATATGAGAGAAGCCGTAATCCTAAATATTTAAACTCTAATAAATCACTTTAAATAGGAAACTCAATGATAGCCTCATGATATAAACTTCATATATATAATTTTCACATTGAGATTAATTATCTTCAAGTTTGAATGAAATGAAAAATAGAATAAAACATACGACGGTGCCCAAGGAGTGTGAATAAATGGGGTGTAAGAGAGGGGTGGCAAAGATCTGAACCTCGTGAAGCCCACCCAATTAGGATAAAGAGAAGCCCACCCAGTTAGGATAAAGAAACGCAATCGATGGCATCAGGCGTCCTGAGACGAAACTGAAAGTTTTCAGACTTCTATGGGGAGGAGGTGGGTTATTCCACGCTTCTGGAGAGAGTCTAGTTGCTGCGGCAAGCCCAAGCTAGAATGGCGAGCCCGTCTCTCCCTGCGTTCTGGTCCTCCGCCAGGGAGTAGCCCTCCTCTTCATCCTCGTCAAACCCGCCCTCGTCATCCTCCGACTCGCTCCCCAGGGGGCCCTTGGTGAGGGAGCGCCCCTGGAGACCCTTGAAGGCCCTCCTCACTGAGCATAGAGTTTGGTGTGGCGACAGCCGCCGCCCTGGCAAGCGGCTTCTCAGTAGGAGGTCACCTTCCACGCGACTTCTCTATCTTCCTCCACCGAGGTTTTTCTCCAGATAGTCAAGGCGGATAGACTCAGACCAGACCAAACTACGAGGATCAGGATCGAAGGATCGCCACCGTGGTGCTGCTATTTTTCTCCGTTTTATTGGACTTTCAAATGGGGAGTTCCATCGCCACGACGTTTTACAGTGAGATGAAGTCCGACAGGCGCTTCTTCGCACGAACCGAGCGTGCGCCGCACAACGGGGCCGAGGGGCGAACCGCCGGCGCCTGGCCTCGAAGCAGCAGCAGGCACGGCGGAGCCCGTGCCAGAGCACGCGACGGAGACGGCGGGCGACCCGGAGCTTGGCGCAGAGGAGGCGGCGGAGGCCCGCGAGACGCCGCCCCGCCCTCTTGTCACCCTCCGCCCGCTCGCGAGAGAAGAGGTAGCTGCGGAGGAAGAGCTGGTGAACTCATGTCCTAGCTCCGTCCTTCCCTCTCTACCACCACCTACCACGCCCGTTCGTTACCACCCTGCGAGTTAATCTACCCTTTTCCGGGCACGGGATGGCGGGGGATGGAGAGGCGGCGCGCGGGTGGCGTGTGGGTCTTTCCCACAGCAGGGCCGGCTCTCCTTATCCCGTCCGCTCGCGTCATCGACGAGGCTTCTCCTGCAAGTTCAGCAATTCTCGCGGACTACAGGAAGAATATGGAGGAAACAGAGGAAGATGCTCGTTCTACTATCCATCCAACCCGCTGTAGCAGGCTTATCAGAATCGTTCTCCACGAAACGAATTCGCGTCGCTCCAGAAGGCGGCCGTCGAGGAGGGAGAAGATCCCAGGGATCGCCGCTGCAGCCCTTCCCGTCTTCACTGGTTGTCCAGGGCGAGGTCACGCCATGTGTCCGCCTCCACCTGCTGGTTCTCCAGATCTGCCCATTTTCGCCAGCGAACCCATCACAAATCACAGCGGCAGAGGATGGAGGAGATTAAGAGAATGAGATAAATGGAAACTCTAAAAGGTGATCAGGGCGACTGCGGACTGGTTTCCCCCCAATCTCTCGAGCCGCCAGTACAGAAAACTACCGCATCTTCCTACGACGCATTTCCCCGAGCATCTAACAGGAGGAAAGCCATCCTCGAGGAAGGGGAAGCGAGCAAAGGGAGGGGAGGAGTGGGGAAAGTGGGAGACACGTACTGGAATCTTCGGCGTCCTCGACACGGAGGGCAACCTCAGAGGGCAGAGGGATCTCTGCAGGAGGTTTCATCAGGGCGGCGGCCGTCAGAACCCATCTGGTGAGAACGCAGCAAGAACCGATCTAGAGAGAGAATGAAAAATCACCGTCGTCGGGGAGGGTGTCCCGCATCCACTCCTCGTCCAGCACATCCAGCAGTATCCCCATGCTCAGCAGCTCCGCCGCCGCCGTCGACATCTTCGTCTCCGTCTCTGCCGTCGTTCTCTCTCTCTCTCTCGAAAAATGAGATTTTTGATGACGGGCGCCTGTACCGAGTTCGCCCGCATTGAGGAGGAAGGACCACCGTCAGATCCTCACGGCATTGGACGGTTCCGATGAACGCCCCTTTCCTTCGCAGCGAAGGAAGATCCCTGCGGGCGGGAGGGAGAGGGAAGACGACGAAAGGAGGCAAGCATAGAAATATGGCGGAAGGTGGGGGGCAGGCGAGGGGGGAGGAAGGAGCCGCCTTCCTCCGGCGGCGGTGCCGTTCCTCCGGTGGTCGTCTTCGCCGTCGGATAGAGGAGAGGGACGCCGACGGCGGCGGAGCATGGGGGTGCTGTCGAACATGATTGACCGCGAGCAGCTAAAGCCCGGCTAAAGCCCGGCGACCACATCTACGCTCACCACGGTGCGTCCCACAACCTCGCCGCCATCTTCTTCCCCGGAATCCCCTGATGCGACCGTGGGCGGTCGATCGTCGGGAGGAGAGCTCTGCTCGTCGATGGGAATCTCCTCCCGACGCTCGATGGACCACGATCGCCGGCGTTCCTGCGGCGGACGATGAACGAGCCGCAGGAACGCCGTGGACGGCCGCGTTCCTCTCTCAGATTGCGGCGTAACGCTGATTATATTTTTTTTCATTTTTGACAAGGATCTATGTGGGCGATGGGAACGTCGTCCACTTCACCAGGGAAGGTGAAGAGATCGGGACGGGGACCGTCTTCGATCGGCTTCTGTCCAGCTCCGTCCCTTCCTACCCCGACTCCCCCTGCGAGCAATGTGGCGATCAGAGCGCGCTCAACGGAGTCATCGAGTCCTGCCTCGACTGCTTCCTCTCCGGCAATGATCTCTACATATTTTGTTACTCGGTCTCGCTCGCCTTCTTCATCTCCAAGGTTCGAGGCGGCACCTGCACTTTCGCGTCATCAGACCCCGCCGCCGACGTCCTCCACCGCGCGAGGTACCTCCTCCGGCTTGGCTTTGGCGCATATGACCTAATCACGAACAACTGCGAGAACTTCGCAGTCTACATCAAGACGGGCCTGCTGGTGACGACGAGCTACAGCGTGGGGCGCAGCGGGCAGTGGGTGTGCATAGTGTCCGCCGCCAATGCCATAGCCGGCTCCTGCCTCCGCTTTCTGTCGAGCAGCTTTGGCGGGCTGGCGGTGGTCACGAGCGGCATATACTGCCTGAACCGAGTGGTCTCCGACATCGGGATCCGGAGGGACGTCACCAAGTTCCCCATCGAGGAACCTGTCCGAAGACTTGTAGCCTGAATCTGTTGGACAGCTCGACGTGTGCTCTCAGAGATGTTCGCCTCTGTATCCCTGCATCTCCCTCCGAAGACCAGCCCTTTCCTCGTGCTGCACCCTCCCTCTCTCCATCCTGGGGAGAGGTACTGCTAATAGTGGTAATGCATTCTCATTTGTCTGCGGTTCAGACCAATTGAAGGCGAAGAACTTCCCGTATAATGGGAGAAAGAAAGAAAAAAAGACGTCAAAACTTCACCACGACACCCCTACATGCCAGCTGTTTAAACCGAGACTGATTTCATGGCGAGAGGCCCTCCCCCCTCCCCCACAGCTTCAGCCCCCCCTGCCAGCCGCCATCTACGAATTGTGCCCCAGACGCTGTAAGAACGCCGGCGTCGGCCTATAATCTCCCAAAACCCAGCTGGTCGGCCTTGGCGGCAGTGGCTCCAACCCGGCGCCACGACGACGGCAGCGGCAAGCTCCGCCTGTGTATGCAACTTTTATATGAATGGAACCAGGAGGCAGAAACCTTGCGTAGCTAGTCGCTCAATAGTCATCCCCGTAGCGGCCTCTGTTCCAGAATCGATCCACCGTCAGGGAAGCTCAATGGAGATGGTTCGAGGAAGGATGGGGATGGTTTTCAAGGAATCAAATCGTACCTGCCCCTGCCTCCGAAGGGTGGCGGCCGGCTCCCACGTCGCCCGCTGATCAACCAGTCATCGCCACCGCCGCTGCTGCCCCTCGACTTCCTCGGCCAGTTATCGTTGGATCTAGGACCCTGCCGGCCGCGACGGAACCCGTCCTCATCATCGGAGGAGTTGGTTCGGCCGCCACCCCAGCCCCTGGAGCTGCCGCCCCTCGATCCTCTCTCCCTGAAGCCTCCCCTCCGGGAACCACGGTCGAAGTTGGAGAACCTCCCGTAGTTGTCGCCTGCCGGGGAGTCGTCTTGCAGAGAGGGCATCTGCAGAGCGGGATGAATTCCAACATATCTCCCCAGTTCAGATCATCATCTTCTTCCCCAAACTAGTATCGACGGTTTAGGGTTTAGATTAATAGCGCCAGAGGAGGCCCACCTTTGTGATCTTCGAGAGAGTGTTCCCGGGTGGCAGCTGCTTGCTTAAAAGATCCCTAGCAATGTCCTCCGGCAAGTCGAAGACAGCCCCCTGGACCTAAAACAGAGAGCGACCCAAGAATTCAGAACAGTATAGTATCAAGAATCTGACAACTTGATTGAATCGTCGAGACCCTACTGAAAGTAAACTAAGACATTGGATCCCTAGACACCCACCCTTTCATCGGCGATCATGTAGATCTTCCCAACTTCATCGGCAGCGGCGGGGGAGACATCAGAGAGAAAACCAGTGACAGATCTCGGAGAGAAGTACCCTCTTGAATGGCCCGGGTCGCGGGTCAACTGCAGAGTCACCCATCCCTGCCACACGAGATCTGATGAACTAAATGCCAAGCACAAAGCAGGAAGATCGAGCACATCGAGATCAGGAAGAACCTCACCTGCTCGTGACTAATAAGCGAGCGCGAGGAAGGAGGCTGGGAGAAGCCGCTCAGATGAGCCAGCGCCGCCGCCAGGGCGCTTGTCCCCTGTTCTTGCAGCAGCCTCTCAGCCGACGGAAGGAAAAACTTGATTGACTCCGGATGCACGCCCTGCAGAGTGGCGACAACCTGCTCGGCCGACGACTCCAGCACCTCTTGCATGACTGGAGGGCTGATGAATTCAAATCGGCAGCCCACGTCGCGCTCCAGGGACTTGACCGTCCTCCTCTGGCTGCCGGTGAACATGAGGATTGCATTCCCTTCTTTGCCGGCCCGGCCCGTCCGCCCGGACCGATGGACGAACGTCTCTGGGTCGTTTGGCAGCTCATAGTGAATGATCTACAGCAGAGAAAGGGAGTCAAACCTCAGCTGCTGAATGAATATCATTCTGATCATGACCCACGAAACATGTCTCCATGGGGAAGATTATCTGCTCACCAAGTCGACGTTGGGGATGTCTAGGCCACGGGCAGCAACGTCGGTTGCGACTAGCACGGTGAACTTCCCTTGGCGGAAGCTATTCAAGGTCCTTTCCCGCTGATACTGAGAGATGTCCCCGTGCAATGCTTCGGATGATATGCTGTTTGTCAACGCCATGGAGACCTCGTCTGCATCCCGCTTGGTCTGAGTGAAAACGATGGTCTTTCCCCCTTTTGCATAAACCTGGAAAGATCAATAAGTAAAACATTTTTCTCATCAATATTCAGAAGCAGGATGATTCTGAGACCCAAATTATAGCAGGAAAGGTGGAAACATGGAGAACAAGGCACCTGATCTTATTGATCAGATCAGTACATCAAAGCAAAGCACGAAGATCAATCAAAATCAGGAGATTAGCAGCAAGATAAGATAAATATTTGTGCATATGACTTATTCTTGAAGCCAAATCGTCATTTCAAAATAAGGGGAGGGATTCTGCGAAAAAGTCGGACTTGCAAGCTCATTTATTGCTTATACCGTGATCAGGTCGCTGAGGATGGTGCGCTTTGATGTTGAAGTGGCCGGAACTGCATAAAGTTTAATGCCCTCCGCAAGCTTTTCCTCTTCGTCTCCCACCTGTATTTTAGAGCAGAAAGAATCCATGCATCAATGAGAAGAATAAAATAGTATCCAATTGTGATTAATTCACGGCAGTCGAAGATCCATTAGGAGGACGGAAAAATCACGCAAATCAGTTTTCATCAAGCTTACAATGAAAAAATAGAGACCCAATCAAATTCCAAAGCTTAAGTATATGATGGGTCACAATTATCATGAGCCATTTCGCAACAAGGACATTATAATCGTAGTCAACTTGCATTCTTAATCTACCACAGCAGCAGGAATATAAGACAACTGATTATCATGATACACATGAATCCAAAAAATATTATTCACTGCATAAATTGACAAAAACCCGAAACGACACTGAACAAGTATATATACCAGCTCAAATTGAGACCTACCAGATCAATGGTCAAAGGATTGTCAAGGTACTTCCTAGCCAACTTCCTCACCCAGCCAGGCATCGTCGCAGAGAAGAGCATACTCTGGCGCTGCTGTGGAAGCTGATCTAAAATTACTTCCACATCCTCCTCAAATCCTACGGCGAGCATCTGGTCAGCTTCGTCAAGGACCAAGTATTGCACTTCACCCAGCTTCAAGCTGCTGCTATTGATCAGGTCGATGATCCGCCCTGGGGTCCCCACCACCACATCAACCCCACGAGAGATTGCGTTCTGCTGGAGGTTATAGGAGACCCCTCCGTAAACACAGACTGTGCTCAGGTAGGGAGCCGATTCCTTGATTTCCTTCTCAACTTGCCTGGCTAACTCCCTGGTGGGCGCCAGGACCAGAAAGCGGGGAAGCCGTCGTGCCCGTCTACCAAGAGAAATAGGCAGCGAAGAGTCAAGAACGAGGCAAACTTGCACCAGGGAACGTATTTATACCACAAAAGGGGGCGGGGGGGGAAGACTACCTTGAAATACTTCCTCCCTCGTCGTCCAAAGTAAGCTTCTTGATGATGGGAATCCCAAAGGCCAGTGTCTTCCCCGTGCCAGTCTTTGCCCGGGCAATGAGATCTCGACCTTCAAGAGCAGGTTCAAGAACGGCCCTCTACAGTGAAGAAAAAAAAAAAAAAAATTTCAACCCCAATCACTGTGCAGTGGAACTATCGGGTCTCATCGAAAAAAGAAATCTATCTACCAGATGATATATTCAATTGGGCATTAAGATCAGATTCATCTAGATTCAGTAGACAACTACAAGAAAGCTACACTACCCCCAATCGAAATGCATCCCACAGCATCGGGTACATGCACAATACTTCCCTCAAAAGAACTGTCTTCGTGGCGAGCCTTGAATGAATAGAAACCCGGAAGAAAACCGGAAGAAAACATATGAAGGTGCGGAAGGAGTGCGAATAAATGGGGTGTTGCAGCTCAGAACAAAAATGGTGAAAAAATTCGATGGTGGGTCGCACGGTAGGTTCTGCCCGGCTCTGAGAAGTCGGCGCCTCGCGAAACCCTAAATGAGTGCAAGAGACGGGGTAGCAAAGATCTGAACCTCGTGAAGCCCATCCAGTTAGGATAAAGAAACGCAAGCAATGGCATCAGGCGTCGTGAGAAGAAACTGAAACTTTTAAGACCTGTATGGGGAAGAGGTGGGTTATTCCACGCTTCTGGAGAGAGTCCACCAGTTGCTGCGGCAAGCCCAGGCTAGAAATGGCGAGCTCGTCTCTCCCTGCGGTCTGGTCCTCCGCCAGGGGGTAGCCCTCCTCGTCATCCTCGTCAAACCCGCCCTCGTCGTCGTCCGACTCGCTCCCCAGGGGGCCCTTGGTGAGGGAGCGCCCCTGGAGACCCTTGAAGGCCTCCTCGCTGAGTACAGAGTTTGGTGTGGCGATAGCCGCCGCAACGAGCGCTCGGCCCCTCGCACTGGCCCGGAGGAAGCAGCAGGAGGACAGCGTCTGCGCGGGGGCTCCCAGCGCCGCCGCCCTGGCAAGCGGCTTCTCAGTGGGGGCCGTCTGGTAGAGGGAGGAGACGCCTACGACGGACGACATGGCCGCCGCAGCAAAGGGTTTAGCAGAGGAACGGGGGGCCAAATGGGGGGGGGGGAGGGATTGGGAAGGAAGAGGGGGGGGGATGAGGAGAGAAGTAGCGGAGGAGGTTGCTGATACTGATAAGGCCCCAGCGAGGAGCTACTGCAGCTTTGTGTGGCCTCCCAAATATCCACCTCGCCGCTGCCGCCGCCTCAACATTTCACGAGCTTCCAACTCTTCCCCTCCATTCGCAGTTGGGCCGGCTCGGGTTGCTTTTATGGGCTGTGAGACCCAATTACGTTGCAAGAGAGCGAGCCACGACATTCCCAAGGAGTTTAACGGCCCATTTGGTCTACACACCTTCTTCGCACGCCTCCGGGCTGGCGTCATCTGGATATGAGCGGGATGATTCGTGGGGATGGCGAGTGAGTTGGACCTGTTATAATGCTGTGAGTTGGACCCCTCTCTCTCTCTCTCTCTCCTCTCTCTCCTCTCTCTACACCTTTACCAGCTGGGCCGCGTGCCGCCGCTGTGGAAGGGGGGGTGAAGACGCGGTTGGATTTTGGGAGAAGAAGACGCCGTGGCCGCCGGGGAACTCTGCGGCCCCCCCCGGAACTTCGCCACCTCGAATTTGCAAAATCTCCCGCCCCCGCGAAGGTTTGTAAAACGAGAAGACCTGCTATCTCTCTCTCCGTCTCTGTCTCCGTAGTCAGCGGAATGTTGGATCCCCTCCGGAGAGGCGGGTTTTATTAGTTTCGATCCCAAGATTTGCTTCGTGCCGTGTTCGCTGTAATTTTTTCTCGCAGAGCTAAGGCGGGGGGACTACGGGGTGTCAATTTGGCGTAGGGTTTAATCCCTTCTGTTGGGCCTCGTTGTGCGATCCCGTCGTCGGCCTACGTCGGCTGTGATCGCTGGCACATCTTGGTAATGGTCGGCGTGAACTGCTGGTCAAAGTGTGGCGGCAGATGACTACTAGTGCTTAGAGGTTTCAGGGGAGGTATAATCCTCGTCTTCTTATTTGTTCCTTTCCGTTATCGTGAAACAAGTGCATTTTTTCCATTATTTGGTGATCTATTTGAAGTGATCCATTCGTCGCTTTGCAGTGGTTGTCGACGAGAGTGTGGATTTGATCAGGGGATATATGGGACCTATCTACTACATCGTTGTTGCTTTCCCATGCACTTTGGGGGCCATTGCACTGGCTATGTTGCATATCTATAGGCACCTCCTGAATTATACAGAGCCATCTTATCAGCGCTTCATTGTCCGCATCATCTTTATGGTTCCGGTAGGCCCTCTTCTTTTATATCGATATATCTTTTAACGTCTGCCAGGTGGTTGTTGGACAATCGAAAATTCAATCATTTGGTAAACCTGGCCGTCAAATCTCTCATGTTTATTTAGGTCTCATCTTATTTAACGCCTTGTTTTGCGTTTTAAGTTATTTAACAGCATCTAATTATGCCCTTCAGCGTGCCCTCATCTGCCATCCCTCTGAAATGAATTTCATATCTGTTGTTTTCTCTGAAAGGAAGCACATGAGAAGACATTTGGTGCACCATAAATCCTGACTAGCTGAACTTTGGATGCATTTTAGTACAACTCTTTTTCTTATTTTGTTTACATATCTGGTAATACCATACTCGTTTTTTCTTATCTCTTTGTCTATTGGTGCTTCAATACTACGTCATTCCAAAAGGGGAAATAATCGTATCTGATGGCTTTATACATCGTCATTCCTATGAATAACCACTTTTGAATCTGTTTAAACTCTTTTACATGGAATCAAGATCATAATAAGCCTAGCTTGAGTTTGGCAAATAATCCCTTTATACCATGTGTTAGACTTTTATCTGTGTTCTGGAGGCTGTATTAAAGTCCATTCGGTATTTTTTGCATAACACAAACTTTGACATTCGTGGTGCTAAAGAATGAATGTATGAGAATTTCATGGATTTACCCATTTAGATAGTCCATCCAGCCTAATAGGAATATGACATAGATACTCTCAGGTTGCAACTGCATCATACCCTGTTTATATGGTAAATAATAGCGGCTCAAAAGTAATACTTGGTGAAGAAAATAGCAGACTGTATACATTTGAATGGAGTCTTAAGAGAGTCTTGGGTATCACGCTGGAAGAAACAATGACAGCATTGCCCCGTGAACAGCTAGGTCAAGTGTTCAAAACTTGGTAAAGAAGAGGTCAAAAGAAGTCAAATAAAATGGGGTAAGCCAATAATATATCCATTGTATAACTATAAGGTCTTGGTTCCTATTGTTAGCATGATGAATGGAATCAGTCACAGTGCTAACCTTCTAGTCACCAACACAGCATGTGAAGAAAGCATGGAATAAGCAGATACGATGACTGATATATGACTGATTAACTGGTCTTATTTACTTTAGCTTGTTCCGGGCATCCTTTGTAGGTGAAATGGAGCTGAATAAAGCTAAATTTATGGATTTGATGTTTTATTGTGGTACGTTCAAACTGTCTGTCTGATGGTAAGGAGTCATAGGCGGATGCAATGAACGAAACGTAGACATACTTATCCACTCTTAGTTCTTCATTCCACTCCATGTTGTGGACGCAATCCAACCAGTAAGATACATTTTTAGTTGATCAGTTCTCCCACTGACCTTTTTTCGGCCATACCTCTTGTTGGAAGCTTAGGCTCAAATTTTTCGGCCTTACCATCTAGTTAGTCTGCATTTCTGTCCAAAAATTTGTATTACTGTATTGACTAGTTTAATACACCAAATCAGTCTGAAGGCGTGACTCATATGTTAACTTCACCCGCACTAGGGAGGGGGCAGGGTTTGGTACATGTGTGATGCTGTGGCGGCTGAAAACCATTAGTACCAGTGGTCTAATCTTCAATATGAGCATTCCAAGGCCTTGATTGGTAGTAGTTTTCTAATTATTCGACTAGTGCAGTTTCTAGTTCTGCCCCCATCATGCTCCTACTGGAATTATTTATCACCATTTTTTTACCCAGGATCAATCCCTCTTGTCAATGCATCCTCCAGCAGTGGCATTAGCAGATAAAATGGCTGTCATTCACTGCAAACCATGTTTTTTACTTTGAAATGTCTTTGTCCATCTCCCCAGGATGATGCTGCGATGTTTTGTAGTTGGGGAATAGCCTTTTTCGTTCGCTACTAATATTGATCCCATCTAAAATTCAGTGCAACTATAAGCATGGCCAAGTCATCTGTGTGAAGTATGCTCCCTACCTCTTCTGCAACCCTAATAACCTCTCCCTCCAGAGGTGCAACTGGACACCATCAATATCTAGTCATACATTCAGGGCTCTTCATCTGTTTGGTCCTATTTCAGGGTTTCATCTATCTGCTGGCACCATACTGCCTCCAGAGATCCCACCAAACACGGCTAGGTCTGGTTATTAAAGAAGTAATTCCTATACCTCGTCCTCGGGGGTATTAAAATCCCATCTCTTCCATCTTGCTGTCAACGATGCCTGGTACTACAAGAAGACTATGCAGAGGTACAGAGTGACCTGGTAGGATGCGAAATCCTCTGTGAGGCATATAATATTGTAAATGTGGAGATGACCCACGATACTGCAGACTTGGCACAGCCATGCAACTGCAGTGATGGGAAGAGTTGAGGCTGTAGATAAGTTAAGAGTAGAATCAGTTTCTATATTTGTCTACTGTTTCAGCTGGAACGTTCGGATTGTTATATGCCGAAATTATTTGATTTTTTCGTGTTATGCTTAACATACCTCACTCTTGAAGATCTGTGCTGTAATGGCCCCAAATCCATAGTCAGTTGTGCGAACTTGAAACTTCTTATTTTAGACTCCCTCCTTTCTGATTTTTTCGTAGAAATTCAGTGTTAGATGCGTCCATGTCATCTGTCTAAGCAGCGTTCCCATTATTCCTTATAAAACGAGTTTTTTTTTTGTGCTTTGTTGATTATGTCGTCTACTGAAGATTCATAGCAAGAACATTGGAAAGGTTCCTAGTATGTTAATGTAAAATTTAATTATCACCGTTGAGAAGAAGTGGGAAGTTTTAGAAGCATCGGAGAAGTTAATCTGCATGATCACTGTAGATACTTTAATTTGAATGATATCTTTTCTGGGTCTTAATCAGTGATTTTTTTTCTTCTTCATGGAGATGTTTCTCTTTTTCCCATTCGATTCCTTGTAAATCCTTGAATTTTCTTGTGTGCAATATACGGATTTTCTTGGCAGCCACTGACGTTTATCTTTTTATTTTTCTTTCAGGTTTTTGCGCTGATGTCCTTCTTGTCCCTCGTACTGAACCAAAGCTCGATTTATTTTGATTCAATTCGTGAAATGTGAGTACATTGCGCCTGTCCACCATGAACATAATTACGAGTTATTCTTGAAAACGAATCTGCATCAATCTGTGATTCTTACGTTTAAAATTTTATTATTCTCTCGTTACCTATCAGTGCGGCTTACATGTTAAAGTTAAGATGGTGCATCTTGCTCCAATGACGATAAATGAAACGCTGGAATTTTTTCGTCATTCATGATATTACATATTTTATTGTATCACTAAATATTTGACATCCTTGGTTTACATATTGTGCTCTGAAGCAGACTCTTTAACCTTAGCATTGCTTGGAAAAGACCAGAGTCAATTCCTATTATGACCTGGAACATTATATGGAACCTCAATTGAGAACCGACAGCAGCTGAAGGATGGTGATGGAACTACATTATTGTTTCGTAGTAGCTCGTGTGAAGGAGAGATAAAACTGGTTTGGTTGAGGAAACGGAACTGTTCATTATAAAATTGCACCTGGAAGGATTTACCAACTTAGCTAAAGTACGTATCAATAGAGAAAGAGAAAGGCTATTCCTGAATCAGCGAAGCGATTACCAGAATTAATGAGAGTGGAAGTTGCTAAATTAGATCTTTCCAATAAACCCCTAGGTAAAGGGCTGAAGCTCCTGGGACAAGGGTTTTATTAAAAAGTAAGTGTTAGTTGACTGCTCAGATATTGTGATTACCTTGGAAAAATAGCACAATTGTTGTGCACTGTATGATGATCGGTATGGAAAAATCACACGCCTCAATACCAGACAGGTATAATTGCCTCATAATGCTTTCTGGGTGAAGACGGTTTTCTTGTGAGTGGATAGTACCATCTATTCATCAAATATTTAATTTAACAGGGGATATGGTAGTATATCCAAACAAGCTAGCCTATTGTGTATTCATGAAATACGTGTATTCATCTTTATTAGTAAAGTTGTTAAAACGATGTGAAGGAATATATATATATATATATATATGTAAGATCTCCAGAGATGGAGAGGAAAGAGTTCTACAGATCAATGCCTGTCTGAGGAATACCCAGTGGCTTATTCAATTCAGAAGTGACCGTACTAACTGAAGATGACAAATTTCTGAAGATCTGACAGGATTCTGTTTTTGTTGATGAAAATGCAAATATGGGTAGGCTTTTATTCGTCTAAGAATTTCCTAAAATATTAAAATCTTCCGTCGTTTGTCAAAGGAGACTTTCTACGTTTCTACCTTGATGGAATTAGAAAGTTGTCCCAGTGTGAAGGACAATTTCATTTTTTCCGTCTCTCTACTTGAATACAAAACTTTTATGGAATGTGGTGCTGAAGTTCCTGTGTAAAGGAGTAGTGATTTCCGTGGACCATAATTGATTCAAAATTCTCTTACTGTTGTGTTGTTTCCAATTTGATGTTTTTTCAGCTATGAAGCTTGGGTTATCTATAATTTCCTTTCGCTTTGCTTGGCATGGGTCGGAGGACCTGGTGCTGTCGTGTTAAGTCTAAGTGGTCAAGCTTTGAAACCATCATGGTGGCTGATGACGTGCTGTTTTCCTGCTATACCTCTCGATGGGTATGCTCCTCAATCATTCACTTCATCTTATTTATTTACTAGCCAATTCATGCAATGGAAGACAAAATTTCAGCAAAGCTACAGCACTAAATAACTGTCCCTGTTGATGCATTCGGACCCTTCTGTGGTTGAACAGGCGATTTATTCGGAGATGCAAGCAAGGCTGTCTGCAGTTTGTGATTCTGAAACCCATCTTAGTCGCCATTACCTTCATCCTCTATTCAAAAGGAAAGTATGAAGATGGAGATTTCAGCGTCAATCAAGCATATCTGTACATCACAATCATCTACACCATCTCATACTCCATGGCCTTGTATGCGCTGGCTCTCTTCTACATGGCCTGCAGAGATCTTCTTAGGCCGTTCAATCCGGTCCCAAAGTTCCTCCTGATCAAATCTGTTGTTTTCCTCACGTATTGGCAGGTACCTCCTCTCTTAAAGCTTCTATTGTGCGCATCTTCCTGGGGATTGATGGGTTCGCTTTCAAGAACCGCCCATCATTCTCTCTCCAAACCTTGTTTCGTCATCTGAGTTGGTCAAAGACTCAGATGGCTACCTAACCTTGGCCATTGTCCTCCTCCACACCTTTCAGGGAGTCTTGGTCTTCCTCGCCGCCAAATCGGGCCTAATAAAGGGCGCCAATGAAGCTGCCGACGTCCAGAACCTCATCCTTTGCGTGGAGATGCTCGCTGCCGCCGTGGGCCACTTGTATGCTTTTCCCTACAAGGAGTACGCGGGTGCCAACATCGGTGGCGCAGCGGGCGGCTTCACCGGGAGCCTCGCCCATGCTCTCAAGTTCAACGACTTCTACCACGACACCGTCCACCAGGTGAACTCCCCAGACCGGACCAGAGGGCATATTGCAGCCTTCAATCATCATCGTCATCATCATCACCTGTAGTGCACGTTTTGATTGATCTTCGCCGGCGTGGGGTTCCCTTGCAGTTCGCCCCAACTTATCACGAATACGTGCTCTACAACACCAGCGAGGGCGACGAGAGCGCGAGGAAGTACCGGTCGCGGACCTTCGTGCCCACCGGGCAGGAGATGGAGTCCGTCCGGAGGAACAGGCACGCCGCCGGCACCCGGCTCGACGACACCCAGCTCTCCAGCGTCTCCTCTTCTGGCTGCAGCACTCCAAAGGCGCCCGGGGCAACCCCCGAACAACAGGCGGACCCGGAGCAAGTCATGGGGTCCTCCCTCCTGCAGGAAGCCTCCGCCTCGGCCGGGCAGCCTTACGACCTCTCGGTGCTGCTCGACATGGGCAGCTATCCCGCAAGTGTCCCCGCCGCTGAGCACGGCTCGGGCAAAAGATGATAAAAGTTCGTGGTGTGGTGTTCTGTGTTGTGTTGTGTTGTGTTGCGGTCTCAGGGAGTTGGAGCTTCCCCCTGGCCGATATGCCCTGCACCACTGACGGGTTTTCCTTGTACATGCTGTGGCAAAAATAGTGAGCAGAGTAGGAGGGATTATTACCGCAAAGGTGTCGCGATTGATCGATACGGATCTTTTCCTTCGTCCTCTACTGCTCCTTTTCAGGCATTATCTCGAGCACCCTTCTTTCGTCAAGCAGCAGCCCGCACCTGCCGTACATCTCCACAAGGCTGTTCCGTACGGCCTCGCGCCCCTCCACACCGGTCTTCACCGCGCAGGCGTGGACCTGCCGGCCCGGCAGGTCGGCGCCCGCCCTAGCGCAGGCTCTGAAGATGCTCGAAAAAAGATGGCCCTTCGTCCTTCTCCCTGCCTTCCTCATCTCCCCAAAGAGGTCCAAGGCCGTACCGATCATGCCCATCTTACAGCAAGCGACCGTCATGGCCGCCGCCCCCACCGCCCAGTCGCGCGCGCGCATGGAGCGGAAGACCCTCTCTGCGTCGTCTGCCCGGCCGAGCAGGCCGTAGAGACGGATCAGGGAGCTCCCCAGCGTGGAGCAGCCGCTGGCCCCGTTCTTCAGGAGCAGCCCGTGGACGCATTTCCCGAGCTTGAGATCCCTGGTGCTACCGCAGCATCGGAGGACCGTGGTGACGCTCAAGATCACGGTCACTCCGCCGCCGCCTAGCCTCCACTCGCGTAGCATCTCTCGGAACAGCCGAAGCGCTCCTGTGTGGTCGCCAGCTGCGGAGAGCCCGGCGATCATGGTCACCCACGAGATGGAGTCCCTATTTGGCATTCCTTCTAACACCTCCAGCGCACGTTCCACCTCGCCGGCGGCGGCGTACGCGAGAAGCAGTCGGTTCATAAGGATCGTTCCCCCGGTCCCGCGGAGGAGTCCCCCGGCGTTGCGTCGCATATGGTCGTGGACTTGGGCGGCGCCGGCGGCGCCGGCGGCGTCGTCACTCTGCTCGGCGCACTCCTTCAGCAGGGACGCGTAGAGGTCCGCCTCTACTGGGAGACGCAAGGCGTCCATCAGGCGGAGGACGTCGCCGGGCCGCGACGTCCCCTCTTCGCCGTTGATGCTGCCCATTTCATCGCGGTACCCCGCTTCGTTCTCCGCGTCAGGTCTGATGGGCATGATGGAGATGGGAGGCGGCAGCGGCGGCGGGAGGCGAGGGCGCTGCTGAAGCATCGGCAAGGACGTTGTGTTCGCTGGACGTCGCTGGCGCCAAAGTCGCTCCCTCTGCGGCGTTGGGTTAACGGTGACCGCCGCCGACCTCCCGGCGACGGCCACCGTCAGAGGAGGCGTCGTCATGACCCGACAGCGCCGTGCCACCACCAGGCCTAGAGTATTCAACTCTCTCTTTCTGTCTATCTATCTATTTATCGCTATCTCATCTTTCTATTATTTCGGCTCCCGACTAGGAACGAGAACCTGCAATATGGCAGCAGACACCCGGCGGAGGCCTCCCTAGAACTTGAGGAAGAAGAAGAAGAAGAAGATCGCGGCAACGAACAGCTTAATACACATTTCTGCTACTTATTGTAAGGGGACTACAGGAAAGGGTGGACGATCACCTGAACAAGATGTCCTCCCTCCCCCTTCTCTCTCTTTCTCTCGGTTTCTCAATATCATCACTGACTTGATCTACATGGCATGCAGTATGGTGTTTATACACAGGACGAGGACGATCGACGCCTACTTATCCAGTCTGAGGTTGTCACAGAGGTGCCCGAGCTCCGGCCGTGCTCCCATCCATTCGGCGAAGGTCGTCTCCCGAGGGGAGGCGCTGTAGAGGTACGCCCGGAAGGTGATGAGGAAGAAGTATCGCCTACACAGCCAGCCAAGAATTGGCGGCGCCCTCCGTAAATCACTCCCAGTTCCTCAACTCAAAACGAAGAAACGCTGCTGCTTTTAATGGAACCACTCGGAGGAAGAAGCTAACCTCAGGGCTTTGATGCCCATGTCCTTGATGTGGGACCTCAGCTCCTCATCGCCCCCGTGACAACTCTCGAGCTCCTTCTTGTAGTGGAAGATATCGTCACGCAGATGCCCGACGCCTGCGCATCTGTCGACGATGATCAGAGCAAAATCAGCGCCAGAGGGAAGGAATTATAATCGCCAAGAACAAACATCGCCTCCCCTGCGCCATGTGGAAGCAAGTCGTCACCTTTCTATGACCAGGTCGACCTCGGCCTTGCTCTTCGGCCCGTGAGTCAGAACCCTAGTGAGGCTCAGAATGTCCCGGTAGTCTCCCTGCTTGAGCGTCTCCTCGCCGACGAGCTGCGATGGCGCTACCGTATCACTCTGCGCGAGAGGGAGACTGCTCGCCTCTTCCGAGGGCTCCAAAGTCTCCGACGAGGGCAGCCTACCGGCGGCGTCGAGCCCAAGGCAGTTTATGGCCATGGCGTAAGCCACTCCTCCAAACCCCGTGTGAGAAATGAAGAGATAGCAGCCTGCGGTCCTGATGAACAAGAAAGACAGGTTCGATTACCAGAGAGGAGAGAATCCCGAGCTCGGGTAGAACACAGTGATTGGTGCGTACTCGGTCCTGCGGTACTGAATGGTGTCGACATCGGAAGCCAGGGCCTCCCGTTCTCTGGTGAGGGGAACCCTACGATAGTCGATGTCGTACCCTTCGTCTCTCAGGCCGGCGTACACCTCCGCGATCGTCTTCACTTCCTCCGGCGAGATCTTCTCCCGGTATCCGATCACGCTGGAACGATTCGAGATCGGGTTGAACTCCTCCCGATGCAAGAGAATCTGCCCCCCTCTCTGCGTCACCTCGGCGATTATATCCTCCTTGAGCCTCCCCTCCATGTTCTCCACCTGTATGCATACACCGCCGAGAAGGGACCATGAGAAAACCAGAGAGGAGCCTCACCGCCCTCCGGCATCCTGAACAGCTAGCCAGGTGCTGGCAACTTACCAGAGGGCCGGTGATGCCCACATGCTTAAGCGTGTCCACGGGGTGGTCCAGCTCCCGGAGAACGAACGGTGCGTCATTGATGTACACCACTGCTTCCTCTCTCAGGTCAGTGATTACCACTCTCTGCGCTGCGCGGCCCCCCATCGACTTTGCACCCAGGTACTCGAGCATTTCCTTCGCCCCATTCACTGTCGGAGTCGCCATGCTGTACACAGGGAACCCAGCAGCCTGAACCAGACAGATACATCTATTGGTGAAGAACATCGACGCGTATTCTTCAACGAGAGCAGCTAACAGATGAGAGTGCTAAGCTTTTACACTTTAAGGCAGTAGTGATACCAACATTGTCTAAACGTGATGAGAAGCCAGATCAAGAGAGACTGAAGGAAGAAAAGAGGTTCTATGGCCATGGAATGGACGGCAAAATACGAGCATAATAGAAATGGGTCATCCCCAAATTGATGGAGAACATATCAACGTTGTTCACCTAGTTTTCATGCGTATTGGGTTACGCATCTGTTAGCTTCTCTCTCTCTGTAAATTGAGGACATAAAATCATCCTAAGATGTCAGCGACTTATATTTTATGAACCATGCAAAAGGGCAATCGCCAAAGCTAGAAATGAGATTGGAGAGTTTACAAAGATGTTCCAACAGGGGGCTTAGTAAGCTCAGAATACCTTGTAGACGTGCGGCGTGCCAGGGATCTGGACGCAGCCTGAAGAGGCCTCCTGGCCCGGGAAAAGATAGTTCTTGAGTATGGAGCCCTTCGCCAGAACAGAGCCGTTGCGGGACTTAACTATGGCTTCCATGGCCACATCCCCCTGCTGCAACTCATGCGACACTTGAAGCCGCTCCTATCGCAGTGCAAGAGAAGGGATCCGTTCAGGAAAATGGTCGGCACGAGATGAGTTCTATGGGCATCTTCACATTAGAAAACATTACCGGCAGGGTGAAGAAGCGCCCGGGCCGTAGCCTGATGCTCCACTTCATGGCTTGGACCTCCTGCCTCTGGTGCAACCATGTCTTGAATGAGACCCTCACCTCTCCCTGTCCGCAGAAGCCATCAAATGCTTTGCTCCCAAGGTAGGCAGCGAAGGCAATCAGCCGAAAGTAGCGCTCCAGATACTCAGCACCGCGATTCAGAGCGACCCGCCTCACCCTCGGCTCCACATGCTGCTGGTTGAACACCTTCCTGTACTGCAACACAGCTTGGCGTATGTTCTGCAAAGCAGAACATCTGTCGATCACAGCGTCCAAAACCTCTCTGCACTCCACGCCATTGTCAAAGAGTCTTGTGATCTTCTTTATGAGGGGGATGTCGTCGATCCTAAAAGATCGCTGCGCCTCATCGTGTCTGGGCAACAACGAAGCTCCATTATCGTCGACGGCCTCTTCACTGCTCGAAGAGCCCGAATCCAGTTTCTCATGGCATCTGTCCTCCTGCGGGATTGTTATCGGCCTTCCATGGCAAATCCTGAGCATCAGAAGGCAGGCAATGACGGTGCCAGTGGTCGTCCTGCCTCTGCCCATCTGTCAGGAAATCATCAATCGAGGCCAACCCATAAGCTAATAAATTAAATTGATCTCCCAATTCACCAATGCCCCCTACATAGAGCGAAACTGGCAGCTGAGGGGATTCTACCTGGCAATTGAAGACAAAAGCTGCGTCCTTGGGCGCAGAGGCCACGTTCAGTGCGATTGTATCAAAGTCTGAGCTTTTTGGTGCTTTCCCATCGGTTATCGGCACGCGTGCATACTTAATGGGAAGTCCCTCGGCCTCCAAACATTTGTAAACTTCTAGAGGAGTCTGGATCGCTCTAGGTCCGACGTGTTCCCACGCATCAAAAATCTGCCCGTCGTCGGTTTCGTGGATCACCATTATGGCACCTCCATAGCGCTCCGCCTCTCGCAGAATATCTTCTTTCAGCCGAGCCTCCATCCTCTCCACGCGCTCTTGATCTATTCCCTGAAAGTGGCAATGTCTTACCATCACTTCATCACGGAAGAAATAAACTACTAACAGGGAACACTCCCCCATGAACAAAAGGAATGATGATTTTCTTATGATCCGGTATACGCCATGAACATCGGATGGTCAGAGAAGCATGCCAAGATGAAGCTGCCATAACGAAAAGCCGGGTAAGATATAACATTACCGTGTACTCCAACATGTTTTTGTAGGGTCTTTCCACCTCACGAAGAACAAATGGTTTCCCGTTGATATATATGACCGGTTCTTCCCTCATATTGTGCCATAAAATTGGGCACCGACCTTTGATGGTGCTGATCCTCTGAATGACTGCTCGGATGCCATCAATTGTTGGGTTGGCAACCCCATAAACGGGAAACCCAGCGACCTCTCGGAAATTAGGTGCACCGTCAACCCTCTCAGGCAAAGTATGATTCTGGCAACCTGGGCAGTGATCACTTTTTAACACCGTTTGGCTTCCAAGAACTTCCCCATTTCTCACGGCTGCAACGACGCTCATTTCGTAGGGACGACCATCGGCAGATTCAGCTATCTTCATTAAAGAGGGCTTTAGGGTCGAATAACCAAGAGCCCCCATTGGATCTCGCCTTAGCAATCTGCATTAAAAGTAAGCAGATGCTTTAAATTAATATGCTAACAGTGGGAGTGTGTAACCAATCCCCAATAAGCAATCCAATTTTTTTAAGATAATCTTAAAAGAAAGCATTGCGCGATGTCTCATACAACGGAGATAGCTTCTGCACATTCTTCATGCCAGAGGGAATATAGCCCAGTTTTCCCTTTCCTCGTGAATCCTTTATGGTTTAAATGATCTTATATAAAGTTTTCCACGTATAAACAGTATCGGCATGCAGGCAGAGTCCCCTGACCGTCAGATTCAGGGTAGCTGAATGATCCATGTTGAAGAAATGGTGGAGAAGAAAGAAGACGTTGGTGTTCAAGAACAAATGCATGAAGCGTTGCATATTTGTAAGGGAAAATGTGGCGGGGCGGGGTGGGGTGGGATGGGATGCCTCACATCAGATCAGGAAGATACTTGAAAAAGAAAGATAGCATGTCACCATAACCAGTAAAAAAAAATGTACAGAAGAACATGATACGCCATTTACAAGCGAAAGATAGGTTTTAAATGAAACAGAAACGTCAAAATGGGAGATCATACATTTTCTGACACAAAATGGGACAAGAGTCACGATCATCATAAGAATCTATTCCATAATGTAGGGCTGGCTGGCACCAATGAAGGACCGTGAAAGCAGGAACGCTGAGGTTAGCCATGCCTGATGTCTCAAGGAAGCGTCACAAGTGAACTCGCCAAGAAAGCATTGGGCTACAGAAACAATATATAGAACTTCAACAAACAGACAAGTTCAGAGAGGCAACATTATTGGGTGATTCTCAGTCCATGCGACAGTGAATGATTCGCAAGAGTTTAAGCAGGAATTTAACTGAATGCATGGTCATAGAGACCCGGGTGCTACTAAGGTGATGAACCACCACAGACGATGCGAGAACGTTTTGCCGGCTAAAATATAATTAAAATCATTTAAAATTAGCTAAGATGAGCCACAACAGTTTTCGGAACCTAAAGAAAGCCATTGGCTGATGTTGAAAGAACGGTTCGATGAAGAGTACTGATTTTGACGAACTAATCAAAGTCTGTGTTGAGCATTCTAAGACGAGGGGTTCCGACTCTAACCAACCTAATTCCAGCTCCTATCTAAAAGACTATGTTGCATAAAGTATCTCTAAAAGAGCTGTTTCCTTATCTGCAAGCCCATTAAGTGTCCCTAAAAGGATATGAAACATTGAAAGCAAAGTACGCCAACAGCCCCTTATTACAGAAAAGAAAACCACAGAACAGGAAAAAAAATCATGAGGCTAGAATGGTCAATGTTATGAAAACCATACTTGCGCGAAGTTATGATTAACCGAGCAAATAGCGTCATGTTATTGGGTTCACACCTGCGGAGTATGCTATAAAGTTCAGGCCTCGCTCTCATCCAATCAGAAAAAGAAACTTGATCTGAGGAAGTAGGCTGGAGAGCTGCCCTCTCCGTATGAATGTAAACAGCAAAGCAGATGAGAAAGTAGTAGCGCTCCAGGTACTCAACAAAGAAGGAGAGTGATGCTGCCCTCTTCATCTCATCCGGTTGACGAAGGATACTACTGCGATAGTTAGCAATAGCTTCTCGCAAGTTCTGCAAAAAAAATTGAATGAAACTAAATGACATCAGCACAAGTTCAGAGGCTTTCAATGCGGAATCTGAACCTAACCTCTCCTTCATTGACCAACAGAGTAAAGCAGCAGTTTAAATGGCTCATAGGAATGAATGAACACAGTTTAAATGGCCATGACTGCGACATATCTACCTGCATAGAATCACACTTGTCTATTACTTTATCCACTTGCCTTTTCCCCTCTACTCCTCCCTGTTCGGAAACCAGAAAAGGGGTGAGCAATCACACACTGCACACGAAAGATAATAACTACACAAACTCACTACTTCATACCTCCAAGACACGAATCAAACTTCGTATCACAGCATATTCACCTCTGCGTATGGCTTCCTCAGAGTTCGGGATGTTATCACTGACTGCCGACACCTTACTAAAAATTTTTCCAATTGAACTCGTCCTGGGAATACCTAATCAACAGACCCATAAATCAGCAACATGGAAAGCCACGACAGTGTTAATACAGGATTTGCATAATACTGCACAGTCAGTATCTGCTTTCTACATTGACGATTATCAGATGAATAATCATGAGAAAAAAGATGGACCTATTTGTCCAAGAAGCAAAGAAGAGAAGAGATGATTGTACCGGATGCGCCAATCCGATTAAGGTAAACTAATGTGGCAATCACCATCCCAGTGGTTGTTCTACCCCGTCCCATTTGACAGTTAAAAATTATCTCCGTATTTATATCCACTTGTGCGATCCTTTGGACCTGAAGTGAGAAGAGAAGAAGGTGAGAAGACCAAAGAGCCCTCTATTAATGCATAATTGATGATAAAATAGACCAAAGATCATGAATGACCCTTCGTGGATCAGATTAATAGGTGACTAAAAAGAAGCAGTCTATGCAACTCATTTGCTCATGTTCCTTCTTGGCAATGTAATGAAAATTTAATACTTTCAACTTTTAACGGTTAAATGGCACATCACCATTTTACGAATAATTAATTATTTTCTATCATATTATCTAAAAACTCAATGAAAACTGCAAGACTATTCATAACATTACCAAAATGCAAATTATCCCGTGCAACCCTCCACGCAAATTATCCTCAATATTTTAAAAGTTTGATAAGTATTCATGCAATCGGTGAAGTACACCAGGGGCCCGTAACTCAGTAAATCTGAAATCATTATTGTATTATGATTGCCACCTATACAAAATACGTTGATTGATTAAACTACGACCTTCATGTTCATCAAACAGTGGCCTAATCTGACGAGTATAAAAGTATCAGAAACTTATGCAAATACAAATTCTGGTAGCTTAATTCTTGAACTTGAGCGCCCTGAACCTTGCATTTATCAAAACATAGGGTTCTTTGTGTGTGAGGAAACATGAGAGACATGATTGAAAGAAGTATAAAGCTATTATCTAACCAGGATATCAAAATCTTGCTCTTTTGGTGACTTCTCGTCAGTGATAGGAACACGTTCATAATCAATGAGGTACCCTTCAACCTGCAGCTCTTCATATACCTAATGGAAACGACCATCGTCACCAATCAGGAGTTCAAATGAAAGGTATATCCAACCTCGCCCCAAAGAACTCCCGAAATTATACCTCGAGAGGGGTCTTAACAGACTCACGCACGATGGGTTCCCACTGGTCCACCATCTGACCATCTGGCAGTTCATCAGTTACAAGGATCTTATTTCCATATCTGCTAAATCAGATGTGCAAAGAAAAACGAGCTATCACAGAGAGAATACATAAACTAACACTATGGTCCCACTTTGTCATTTTAGTACGGGGAATCACAGACGCAAGTGATAGTTACTAGAAACGTACTGGGAGGCCTCCAGCAGAATATCATCTTTCAGACGAGCCTCCATTTGTTCGACTCTGGCTCTGTTTATGCCCTGCGCCCAGCAACAACGTGAAGGTCACAATTCCACAAAGTGAAAAGAAACAAGGCTCCATTCCCTCTTGGGGTGACCTGACTACATAAAGTGAGCGTGTGTATGCTTATGATAGCCAAGAACTCTTTCAAGTCGCCTAAACATGCAAAGCTAGATGGGACACGGAGATGAGTGATGTTTCGATTTGTGGGCATTAAATCCACCATATGGCAGGTAAATAGCAGGCCTCTCCTGGAATGTAGGCCGGAACAATGGACCCAGGACTCAATTCTTCTCATTTCACACCATGGCTTCAAGAAATACCATCCATTGAAACTTGCTAGTGTCAGCGAACACACTGTCCTATTTATTGGGACAGTCACACGCATCAGTTGTACAATCTAATGAAGCAACCAGGCATCGTCAGCATGGCCTCAAGAAGCAATCTCCTGATTAAAAATGGTGCGAGAGGGATCCTGATGATAACGAAGAAATAAAAGCTCAATACGAACAACACACCGTGTACTCGAGATTGGAGAAAGGACGCTCGACATCACGCAGCACAAATGGTCGGCCATTGATGTACACCACCTGTTTTACATAGAGAAAGGAAGCGACACCCAACTGATCAGAGTCCAGCTTAAAAGTTATCCTCCTACAAGGCATACCATGCCGTCAACAGCTTTTCTTGATACCGCCAAGATGTATGATGATTCCAAAGGAAAAGGGCAGATAATAATGCAGACTTACGGGTTCTTCCCGGAGACTGTGCCAGAGGACCTTCTTTTGCTTCCCGCTCTTCTGCGCCCCGATGTGGTTAAGTACATTTCTGATCCCCTCAATTGTCGGAATCGCCACACCATGAACGCGCAGTGAGCCCGCCTGTTCAAATATGTTATCGAGCTTGGATATGAGAGAGAGAGAGAGAGAGAGAGAGAGAGAGAGAGAGAGAGAGAGAGAGAGAGAGAGAGAGGACAACCGGATATCACATGGAAGAGCAACAGACCTGCCTGTAGTTGGGGGCGCCGTCAATCTGGGGAGAGAGACGCCTGTTCTGGCAGCCCGGGAAGTGGTCGCTCTTAAGGATGGTCTTCTTCCCAAGAACAGAGCCGCCCCTGCAGTTCATGACACGCTCCGGTTCCATCTCCCCCGGAGAGACGGCCCTACCGGCGGACGACACCACGGATGCGGGCGATTCTGGCGGCATACCTGATTCTGGCGGCCTCACCGCGAATTCACACGCCCCCTTCCCTATCAGCAGTTTTCTTCGGAAGAGCCGGTGCGGTCGTTCTACCCCTCTCACCCCTCAGGAGGCCAAGACCGTTTCCCCCGGTATTTATTGGCCGCGACCTCGTAATCTCCGAGCGCGTAACATCAACTTCTGCCGATGGCGGCACCAGCGTGCGAGCGGCGCAGTAAATGCAAGGTATGACTGAAGTAGAAGAAGGAGAATAGGAACGGAGGGGTGAGATATCCAGGACAGCGCGATGAGGAGAAGAAACGTGCGATAAGGGGTGAGGGAGGAGATGCGAAGGGGTGGGGAGGGAGGGAACGGGGGAGCCAATAGCAGTCGGTGGCGACGCGAGAGACGCGAGCATCTATCTACCGTCTGGTTCTAGTGGATGGGGCCAGCTCAGCTTCACGTGAGCAGGGTCCGCAACGCCCCCGGATAAAACTAGGCGGCATGCACAGATGCGTCCGACCAGAGAGGTGGGGACCGAGGAGCGGGCGTGGGGACGAACGTAGTCCACACCACGCACAGCGACAGGCTCCTCCTTCCCTCCCTCCTCCCTTTCCTTTTGCCCTTTCTTATCCACAACCCCCCGGAAAGAACAGTCGCGTCGGGAGCGAAGAGGGCGGCGCGGATGTTCAAGAAAAGGCGAACCTTCCTTCCTCGTCCTGCCCCTACTGTAACTGGCCACTCTGCGCACAGATAAGAGAAGAGCGGCTGGTGGGCCTCCGCCTGCTGCTGCCCTTCCCAGCAGGACGACTGTTCACTCCCTCCCCTGTGGACGATCGCCTCTTCCCCGGCCATCGCCGCCGACATCTATCCGCATCAACGGGAAGAGGCCGCATCGAGCCGCACCTTTTCCATGCCGGACACGTGCAAACAACCCCCACCCCCCCATCTGTCTGGGCCTCCTGCGTCAGCCTCTTTCCCTGTCCCTGTCCCCGTCTCCATGTTGAGGACGCACAGAGGCGACCTCAGGGCGTAAAGAAAGAGCGTCGCCACTGTCCTCACCGATTTGATTAATCAACCGAGACAAGCTAGGCCTTCATGCACCACAGACACCCTCAACGTGCAAAACGCGCAGAGCAGAAACCACCATAAAATATGTCATCCCACCGACGACACAGAGAAAGCACATATATATAAGATCCCATATGGACAGGGACTGCTTCGACTAGAGTTAAGATAAGAGCGTTTTCCGTTTTCCGAATAATATCATATCATATAGATTCCTCCCAAGAGTGCACAGAGCTAGCCAATCTGAATGCATCCATCGTACCTTGAGATCAACCGGCGGCGCCCAAATCTAGAGGTTGGGGTTCAGGTCAGCGATGGCGGCGCTCTTAATGAGGTCCAGGTTCCTGGGGGACGGCAAGCCGGCGACGACGTCTTCTTCGATTCCACACTCGTTCCCCCCCCTTGCGATCTTGAAGTAGCCATCCTGCAGAAATACAGCCCCGGCCCAACAGAGAGATTAAAGAGCATCAGACGAGAACGAGAAGAAAGCGAGGATGGATCATAGCGGGGGGAGACTCACATCGCCCCAGCCTCGGTTCCACTGGTTCGCGAGAAGCTGCGGGTAGAAGAAGAAAGGATTAAAATTGCGGGGATACAGAGAGGAGGGACAAAGAGCCGCGCCAGGTAAGGGTGAAGGGGCCAACCCAGTAGTCCTCCCCTCTGTCGCTCGTACCCCATCCGATGAGCTTCACGGCATGGCCGCCGATGGACACACCAGTTATGTGCTTGTACACCCCCGACTTATAATGAGCGAAATCCTGCGGAAAGCAAGGTTGCGGAAATCCTCAGTGACCGGCAGCCGAATGGCTAAGGAGCAACGGGGGGCAGAAGTATGTTTTTTGTGATGGCGCAGAAAAATTAGTGGCGCGACAGAGATAGCTCTTTCATCCCCGAGTCTCTCTCGTCCATGTCCGAGAACAGAAGAAAGAACAGAGCTCAAGACGGGATTGTGAATGATGCTTGTTAGACATCATCAGCAACAGAAATCTCATCGGGAATCTGCTAATTGTGCTTGGAACGATGCAATGAAATTTCTCGAACCAGATGAATGCTGCCCAAGACCTGGCATAGTCGCGTCACGCACGAGAATCTTAACATTGACGGGAAAAATTATGAACAATGAGCTGGACTCGTACGTGAAAAGAAACGTTCGGTGGATCAGAGTTCAAACTTAGAAAAGGATGAGGATGCATAATAATAAATATTGGGCGATAAGTTTCCTTGAGCATGGCAGAGAAGAAATTCTAAAGGACGCGTTCAGGTCATACTAACAAAACAATACTCGCGCAAAAAGAGCCCATTTAAATCAAGGAAAGGCTGTGAATCAAACCCACCTTCTTTTCGAGAAAAATAACTTCAAATTTTCAAAACATAATGACACAAATTCGTTAATTTCTTTGAATCTGAGGTGAATTTTATGAGTTCATCAGCGCCACAGCCCTGCAGACAACAAAAGCTGAGCCATTGACTGTAATTTTTTCCTTTCTTTTTTACGAGAGAAAAAGTAATGGAGAACCCCATTTCCATTTAACAGGCCACATGAATCCTCATACTCAGTGTACGGCTTTTCTTGACCCCTTAAAGCATACATGAGTGGAATAACACCCAACGCTTCAATGAATCAAAAGTGCTCAGAGGACGGCAAACAGGAACACGTCAAATGCACGAAAAGAGTGGATTAAAATTTCAGTCGTTTGGATGAATAACATTGCTACGATTGAGTTTTTCACTGCAAGAAAGGTGATAGCGTGCTGATTATCATGCAAAATATCCACCTTGTGTCAAGCAGGTAGATTATCTAACATTTTCAAATGGAAAACGCACTCCATTCAAATGGAGACTGTAAGAAAAACATAGTTGAGGGACAATAAACTTATGCCACTTTGAAATTAAGGAGGATATATGGGTGATGCCCTTTTTGTGGAAAAAGAATTTTAAAAGGAGCTAGTCATTTTCAGGTTACCTCATAAACAGTGAAGGAGACTTCCACAGGACCGTTCTTATAAAGTTCAGCCATGATATCATGTTGATCGGAGCTCACTCTGTATGCATTGACACTGAAATGTTTGGACTCCGGCCAGACTTGGTTCCCAGCCTTGCATTTCTTTTCACACGTCGGGGTTGGATATGACGGTTCGCAACCAGGATGGGAACATCCGATCTGGTCAAAGTAAGGGTCGCACTGCCAAAACGGAGACCATTCCGTGGTGAGTGGATCAAGTGTCAGATACCTCCAATCTAAGAGGAGGACGAGTTGAAAAACCCAGCAAAGGGGGTTCCACTCTACACTCATTGCAATCGAGACACAGTGGAAGAACTTAGAGTAAGTGGCTCAAAATAGGAGGGTCACCAGTCAAAAAGAGCAGACTTGTACCTCTTCTGTCACAACACCATTCTGGACAAGGTACTGCCATGCCAAGATGGGATATCCTCCATCACAGCCATCGCCACACAAAAAACCACAGCAAGACAGGAGATCATTAACTGATAGTGAGATGTTCTGCAGTGGAAGAAAAAAAACGATTAGATGATCCTTAATCTGGCATGAGATGAAGCACAGCAGGTTGATAGGGCTACCTGACCAAAGTGGATGCAGAATCGGTCGGATAGAGATTCAACCGCGCCAAAAGCCCAGCAAGAACCACAATGCCCCTGCCATTTCCATAATCGAGTCATTCCCATGCCCACCAGCACTGAGCAAACCAAGTGAAGTATAAAGGGACATTACAATCGCCCACTTTACCTGATCTGTGGCCCAGCAATTGACAAAGTTTCAAAAGAGATACCGGCACACATAGACGTAGCAATATGTCAGCTACTCAAAGTCAACGTGGATCCAAACAACACAAGAATTGGAGAGAGCTGATAGATCACAGAAGGGGGTTTGTTACAGACCAAGTATCCTGCTGATGCTACTGCAATGGGACCAAACATTCCTCGCGTCGAACTCCTTGGGAAGCGTCACTTTCAGAGATTCTGGGTGTCGCCTCACAGGAAAATCGAGAAGACGGTCCTTGGGCAGAGGCTTGACACCTAGGAGGCGCTTGAATTGTGTAAACTGTTGAGAAAGTGTAACATCTTAGATCGTCAAGGGCTGAACATTAGAGGAACAATGGATGATTGCCGCTATGGCCGATCTATAGGTGTCCCACCGTGTAATTAGAGAAGGCGGCGTTCATGTCCGCCCGCCAGCCGGCGTTGGGGTTGGAGTTGACCTCCCATAAAATGGATTCCTGCATCAGATGCCGAAGCAAATTAACCAGGCTAGCGCGTGACCAACTAATCAGAAGCCAAACCAGACGAGAGATTAAAAAAAAAGGGGGGAAGCCAAACCTCGTGGTGGAGCATGGATGATTATTATTATTATTATTATTGGCAAAGGATTATTGACAGAGCTAAATTCGGCGGACAAACGATGAACTCTATCAGAGATCAAATAGACAAGGTGATTGCAACGTGAATACCTGGAGGATAGAACTGTCGCCGTCTTCCTCTCCGATCCTAATCCCAGGGATGGCTTTAACCGCGGCCTCCTGCAGGTAAGATGAATTGATGGATAAAGAGACCGACGGCGCATGGAGAACGGAGAGCAGCAAAGACAACAGACAAGAAGAGGCACAGCATAACCCTACTTCATGGACAACGACGACGACGAGGAGAAGACAGGCGAACTTTACGGCCACCGCCAGTACCCCCGCAGCCCTCGCCATCGATCTTCCCCAATTTCTCTCTTTCGCTCTCCGGCCGTTCCTCCCCGAGACGCAATGGAGGAGGATGGAGTGGAGACGGAGACTAGAGGGATTTTATTGGGTTTCCCCCATGACGTGGCTCTAACGGAGCTGCGCTCGCTCCTCCAAGTCGCTGTTGAAAGATGCAGATAGGAGGTAGATAGAGAGAGAGAGAGAGAGAGAGAGGAAAGCAGCAGCTTCCCGGACGCAATGGGAGGGGTGGGTCGTAGATTCTCATCCCCATCAGGCAATGCCATGATTGATAAATACTCCGCCGCTCTGATTGGCTGGGCCGCCTCTGTAGGTAACATGTGGGGCCCGCCATCCCTGCGGCAACGGAATCGGCGTGACACAAACCCATCCCAAATGGGGGTTGCGCGTTCCGATGACGAACTATAATATAATATCTTGCATCCATTATCTTGATTTATTTATTTATGGTTTCCCGAGAACGGGCTTTCGGGCCGACCCAAAAGCGCTTCGGGGTGGGCCCGCCGTCTACGGGCGGCGATCCCGGCGCGCCAGCAGTGACGTAGTCTAGCGCACATGCGGCGCGACAGATGATCGAACAGGGACTTGGAAGCACTCTTCCCTTCGGGGCAGGCCCAGTCCGGCCCGGCCCGTTGACATGTAGCTAGAGTAATCAATGAATAAGATCCAAGATGCAGAAATCTATGAACCGTCAACTACGCCGCTAGCGTTCTCCACTTCTTCTCCGCTGCCCTCCTGCGGCAAGATGCCTTCTGGCCTACCGCACCTACGAGAGCGGCTCCCGACGGATCTCATCTGTTAATCCCGAGATAACGGCTCACGGCCACCGTCGCACCTTGGTCCATCCAACCATCGTCGCACAGTTGTCCTGAAAGCCTGGGGGTGCTGTTCATCTCCTGGTAGGTTCTCGCTCCCAGTCTCTCTTTTTCGGTGGATTTTCTGCACGAAGGAGAACCACGTCATATTACACCTGTGAATTTCCCCCGTGTAGGCATTCTGCTCTACTCTCACTCTGTTTTTATGCCAACAAATTTTTGAATACTGTTGAACTTCTATTGAGCGCTAAAGCTCCACGAGTCTTCTTACGATAAATTATTTCTGTTGTAGATTTATCAATTCTGCTTTTCTCGATTGCTGTTCCTTGCTTAAAGGAATAAATGGAGTACACTCGTCTGGAAAAGACATCAACTGGTTAAACATAGAATAGCCGATTGGATAGTGTTAATGAAGTTTTGGATTATTTTCTTTTGAAAAAAAGCAAAAAACAAGAACACTGCATAATTCCTTGTCTTTTCCGAACGGTTTTTGATTTGACTTACATTTGCATCATTCTCTTTCTTGTCCCGCATCATTCTATCTCATGGCATAGGCCCGACTGTGTTCTCTTTGGAAATCGTTATCACATCTAGGCCTGGCTAAACTCATAAAACAAGGGTATCTAAAAATGACTACAGTGGTCTTTACGTCAAACCCGATAAAAGTAATTGGGCACTTCCTTCAACATTCAGCGCCATTGGTGTCCTGAAGATTTTGCATCTGCGTTGTAAACATTGAGCAAATATGTGCAATGATGAAATGAAGTGCGTTAAATTTTATGTGTGTGCATGAAGCCAGCACATGCCGTCTGATGTAAAAGCAGGGGAGCAGGAAATCCAAATTTTTTCTGAAATATTCTGGGAAAAGAAGGGAAGAAAAACCAAGAGCCACCTTCTCTATAGACCCACTTAAGGTACCCAATATTATATATAAATTCCTCGTTGCTATGATTGTCGTCACAGAATTGGTATAGCCATTTACTGACATACGTCGCTAAAATGAGGTTGTACCATTTCTTTTCTCTACGTCTTGCTTTGATGCGAGGTAAGCAAATCAATGGAGAAGCCCATGGCTACGGCCTGTCTGGGTGCTACTTTTACTGCGCTGGTAGAAGTGGTACTGTCAAGGATTTTCTTTTCTTTCCCAAGCTAGCCTGATGAAGGTTGAGAAGTTGTAATCACTTCAAGAAGTACATCTGTCCGTCCATAGCTTATCATATTGTTTTCCAAAGAAGTACACTTAATAATCTTTGTCGGAAGATCTGCCAATTGTTATTTTGATCAAACAAAAGTATGGCGAGACCCTTATGATAAAAATGAAGAGTGACAAAGTTACAGAGATAACATGCAGAAAGCTATGTCCGGCCAACTAAGTTCATGTCTTGTTTCAGTAGTTCTAATTTTCAACTTCTCTGGATTCCAACACTGCAAATTTTTTTTGTCTTTGATGAATGCATAAATTTACATTGTCTCTTACACTCTGTGACTATAGTAGTACAATTAGCATCAAGAAGCACTAAACCGTGTACAAGGAGAATAAATCAGCCCTTAAAATTATGTTCCTTTGATGCATCTTTAAAAATGCGATCTTAGTGAAAAATGGCATTGCCACAAAGATAGACGAACATAATATCCATCAGAATAAATGCATCATAGGTAAGAAAGCCATTCAAACCCTTAAAAGGAAGCACATGACTCTAGAAGCCTTATTTCAACTTGATGTCAATGGATTACTGATGGTTGCAGTTCGTTTTATTAATAATAATAATAAGAATAATTTTTTCCTCGTATTATACTAACATTAATAGTATATTCGTTCTCATATGGATGCGAAAAGCATAAAATTGGTAAGTATCGAAATACTTAACTAAGCAATCTGGTTAGAGCTCATCAAGTAGGACCGTTCTATGAACGAAAATTTTCATAGAATGGTTTCGCATGGAGTTTCTTTCTGAGAAAAAACAGTTTGTTAAACATACGACGATCAGAAAAAATGTTCCATCATGTTCATATGCCTAAAATTAGATGTATCACCATAAATTATAATATTTAGCCTATTGATATGGTATGGATTCGTTATTACATTCTCATTTATACCTAATAATAATTGCACTTGAAAAGCATTAGACTGACCACCGTCTATTTTGTTTTTGGGAGACATATATCATTACAGGACAATGCATTAGTTGATATCATTTATAGAAAAGAGTAGTGAAGTGATCTGTTTAATTCGCTTAACTAACTCTTTAAATAGAAAAGTATCATTCCATGACTGGTCAAAATTTCTAGTTGCTTTGTAAGACAAGAAGTATGACTTATTCGGAAAAGCTTCAGGGAATGACGATGGTCCCTTATGAAACTTCACTCTCTTAGTTGAGAATTTTAACTCTCTACTCTTGAAAATTATTGATTCTATCTCAGAATTTTTTTTCTGTATAGTAGCTATGACAGTTAGTCAGTTATATTTTTTGAAGGAAATTCTTCTGCAAGAATTACTCATGAAAAAGTGTGGGGGCCATTTTATTGTTTCTGTATGATTAGAACTTCTGAAAACAAAGCATGAACTTAGTTTCAGAAGTTCTAATTTCCAACTAAGTTATGACATTTCATTGGATAAAATGGTTGTTACTTCACTGGTTCATAGGGAAAGATTGGACAAAAACAATGAATAAAAGCCTTTTTAGTAAAGTCTTATCATAGTTTACAGATGCACAAATTCAGGACTTGACAATGCAGTGGGGAGAAGGTGATGGAAGGAAAAGGAAGAAAACATACAACAGTTGGGAAGAGGAGAACATAGTACTCAGTCTAATCCTTGTGAAAAAGAACTTGATTTCGTATAAGCTAATTGATGGAAAAAAAATCGTCACGCTAAGTTTGTGGAAATGGGGAGAAGAACAAGTCTGTTATTTAACTTTTTACCTTCTAGCAGACAGTCGGCTACGCCTATGAAAATAAAAATATTTATTCTATGCTGTCCTTGTATTAGGTGCCATGAGAAAGCGAAATTATCAGAATTTTGCTGTAATAGATGCTCCAAAACATTACAATTATTGAATGGGAGACATGGTGATTGCCCAGCTTCAGATTTGTTCAGATAATGATATTTGTGTGGGCTACATTTTCGGAAGGCAAAGTAGGAAAGCGTAGAAGACTAGGTCCCTTATCTAGTTTCTGCATCATGATTTTTCTTACTTGCAGTTTTAGGTATTACTTCCTCTTATAAAAGACGACGTAAGTATATTTTTCAATCGGTTTTTCTTAAAAATAAATTATGAAAGGAACTATAAATGTAGTTTACGGATATTCAAATGGGTAATGGCTTTCTTATTTTGTCTGCTGGTTTACGTTCCTTCTCATATTCATCATGTGCCACAGAAATGTCAGGAGATGTTTCGGCCCTGGCAGCACTAGAGAAGTCCCCCTTCCCCAACCCTGTTGGAACTACTGGTGCTTCAGACTGCTACAGCGCTGTGGTCCTTGGGGGAACTTTTGATCGTCTTCATGATGGCCATCGCCACCTCCTTAAGGTATCATGCTGTAATTTTCCTCCTTTTTCCGTGATGAATAAAGGGCTTTAATATTGTTTAAGAGTTCTGTAGATTTCTTCCCATCCCCTTAAAAGTTGACATTGGGAACAAATTCGCATAGCTGATAATACGATGCAAAGTGGCGCGTTTGCATGGTTAAAGCCATGAGCTGAGCTTCAGAATATGATTCCTGGATCGGATCTCTCTTCTTACATCCTTTACTTGCTTCTTGAAAGGCTTCAGCGGACTTGGCTAGAGAAAGGATCGTCGTAGGTGTCTGTGCTGGAGCCATGCTAGCAAAGAAGGAGGTTTGTGTTGCTATGTTGTCCTTTCTGCTCTTTTATTTCTTTAAATTCTGCTGCTGATAATACTCTGTGAAGTGATTGATAAGGTTAGGGTCACATATCTGTTTCAGTTAAGTGACATGATCGAACCCATAGAGGTGAGAATGAAGGCTGTAGAGGATTATATCAAGGTAAGCATCGTAACATATCCATTTAGGTTCGGTTATATGTTCCCGTGTTCTCTTGATAATACTATCTTTCGAGTTTAGGGAATCTGCTATTGGTTATTCTTTACATAACATTATAACAATGTGAAATCTCTCCAGCCATATTTTGTTAATGTATGAATCGATGTTTAAGGATGTTTGTTTCTTAGTTGTAACCATGCACTCTATTGTGAGAGTTCTTTGCAGTCCATAAAACCTGGCCTGACGGTGCAAGTGGAACCAATCATCGATCCTTATGGGCCGTCCATCGTTGATGATAAATTGGATGCTATCATCGTCAGGTACACTTAACCACGCCTAATATGTAATGAAAAGTAATTTATTTTTCTTTTCTAAGTATCAATGGATCCTTGTCTCCCTTGCTAGTCAGGCTCAATCCTACTCTCATACGTCACAGATCCAATTAATCTTCACCTGTTGTGGTCAGTGAGGAAATAAACATCTCTGGTTAGTTTCAGTATAGATAGGAATAAGCTGGAATAGGGTCCTGCCTGTACTTGTGGCCTCACGTTGATGCCTGCATCCTTGTTTACCTGCCTTTGTTTAGCGCGCCGAACCTCACCTGGGACAGCATGATCAGGCATCTATGATATACATTGGGTTTTAGGGTCTTATAATCCCTATGAGAAATGCGCGAGTAGTGTTTTACCCGTGCATTAGATGGTTTCCTGAGAAATGAGAAACAGAAACTCAAACAGATTGCTTCAGTTTGCATGAATCCAACACCCCAACCGTGTCGAAGTATCAGCATCTCTGTGTATGCTATGGTTGAAGTATTCCCCTATCTCTTCTGTGCCAGCATGTCAACCCAATAACCGAGCCAGATTCTTTCTGTATTTGGGGTCGATCTCCAGGGAAACTTGAGAGAAAGAGGTGAATAGGTGGGCAGGATACTTCTTCAATGTACACCTCCGCTTCCACAGATCAGCTGTTCTGAGCTGTATCTACCTCAGAAACCGTGTTTTTACTCGCTGCACCCACACTCTCTTCACTTATTCTGTGTTTAAAAGAGAGCTTCCATCGCCGTCACAGATGGGATCTGTTCCATATTCGGAGAAATATGTGGGGACATAATATGTAAAGGACTTGGCCATCTCTTCTGCCCTCATCTCGAACCCTTTTTTGTTGATCTCTTGTGGGCATCCAGTAAAGAAACTTTGACTGGCGGGCTCTCAGTGAACAAGAGACGATCTGAGAAAGGTCTCCAGCAGCTGCAGGTATGCTTTTGAAAGGACGTATGTTTTTTTCTTTTGCTTGCTGATCTGAGGGAGGATGAGCTGGACTGGCTGGTGCGCATGTGGCTGCAGGTCGAAGTAGTTGATCTTCTGCCCAGCGAACTCAATGGCGAGAAGCTAAGTTCCTCCATGTTGAGGCGACTCGCGGCGGAGAAAATCAAGCGGGAGCAAGCAGGCTGTGAGAAAACTATCCCAAGTCAAACAAGTAAAGACCCATAAGTCAACTGGATATGTTCCACAAAGACAAGGTAGCAAAAATGCTCTTCATAGCCATCTTTTTTTCCCTCCGTATGTAAAAAATTGCTTTTCCTGGACTCATCGATCGAATCCATTGTTGCCGGTAATTGTAGAAAAATAATAAAAATAAAGGAATTCATTTTCCAGTAAGTACGGCTCAGCTAGACTACCGCAAATATTTATGAAAAAAGACCTGATGCTCCTTCAAGACATTATTTCTGCAATGCTTCAGTCGTTCATTATGCCTTTATTACCATTTATATAATAGCAAATGCATTTACGGTTGGAATTTCATACTTCTAAAATACATAATTATATAGTTTTAAAATTATCTTTAAAAAAAAAAATTGTCATAAAAAATACCCTCTATAACTTTTTATGAATAATTTTGAGGCCTTAAAAAGTTAGATATAAAATAATGTCCATCACTCATGATGGGCAGCAATCTCATTCGTCAACAGCTTGAGAACCATGTAGATACTTTGAGATTCATAATGCGTCTCATCCCTTGTGGTAAAAACATGCGCCCTCCCTTGTACTTCGACCCAACTGCACCCCACCTCCTTTCCCACTCTTCTCCCCATCGACTGCCCAAGCCTCGCTTCCTCTGCGCATCTCCCAGAAGCTCTGTAGATTTCCATGGCCTTCAAGGACGCGGCAGCTGCATGTTGTCCATAGATCCTACATCCATTCAACAGCGCCCTCCAGACTACAGAGGAGGCCTCAAAGGGCACGTCGAGGATCATATCCGCCGCTTCTCTGATCATCCCAGCACGCGCAAAGACGTCGATCAGGCAAGCATAGTGCTCAGGTCGCGGACGGATACCGAAATCTCTGTGCATGCTGTCAAAATATCTCTGCCCTTCGTCTACATAGCCAGAGTGGCTGCATCCCAGAAGAACACCGATAAAGCTGATCGAATCAGGCTGAAAACCAGCCAGCTGCATCTGATGGAACTGGGAGATCGCCTCAGCTCCAAGCCCGTGACAGCCAAATCCGGTAATTACGGCATTCCACGTGACCAGGTCGCGCCCGGGCATCTGGTCGAAATGGCTCCTCGCCTCACCCAGGCTTCCAGACTTCATGAACATGGAGATAACCGAGTTTCCAACCCGGGTGTTTGCACCTAATCCCCTCGTCAGGATCTGGGAGAAGAGCTGCCGACCCACGAGCAGCGCAGACAGATCCGCAGCAGCAGCAGCTGCGCTTGTGAATGCATGAGAAACGGGAGTTATCCCCAGGGAGAGCATTTCTCTGAAGATCACCAGGGCTTCGCATGCTAAGCCATTCTGCTGGGCGCCAGATACGACCGACGCCCAAGCGGCTGGATGAGGCTGCGGCGATTGCTCCAACAGTTTCAAAGAATCGCCGAGCCGGCAGCCGCGAGCGAGCCCACCGGCAACGGTGGTCCAGCTGATAGCGTCCTTGTAATGATCGGGCATGATGAAAAAGAGCTTCAAAGCGGCATGCATTTCTCTTCTCGACGAATACCCCATGATCATCGAATTCCAGGAAACAGTGTTCCTCCCAGGCATCCTGTCGAACATGTTTCTCGCTTCCTCGATGTTTCCATCTCGGATATAATCTCGAATCATTACGTTGTATGAGACTGGGTCCCTCAAGGGCATCTTGTCGAACAGCTTCCTCGCATCACGGCCCGAATACCCGGACATCTTCTTTGTCGATGACGCCAACTCTTTGCTCGTCCTTTCTTCAGCGGGTTCCATGCACCCGGCGGCAGTGAAGCGAGGGGCTCTCTTCTGGTGTGAACGGCATCCTCCTCGCAGAGCTTTGAGCATCCCCGGACAGCAGAAATCCAAGGGCAGGTGAAAGATAAGAAGAGCATGGAAGATTGTGCCAGAGTAGTCCAACCCAAAGCAAGAAGATGGAATGAGACAAAGATGTTATTTTCTCGAAACCCTTGTTTTGTAAACGCAAAATTCATACAGAGAAGCTTGTGAAGGCATCGTGGGAGGGTGCCGGCGTGTGTGATTCAGCTGCGTTTCCGCTGAACCATCCGTCACCGGGGAAGGAGGCGGTGACCGCGACGGTGGGACTGGGGAAGGAGAAGCGGCGGTAGGGGGGAACATACGGAGAAAATACCGGTTAGACGACGGGAAGGGGTAGGGAATGAAGCCCACCACGTTCAGAGAGCACCAGCAGAGAAAAAACAGAACACCTATGACTTTAGGCTGCAAATTTTTACGTTCTGCGAGAAATGCTATTATTATTGATGAGGTCGTGTGACGACAACTTTAGTGTTGGCGAGAAATTTAAAACTACTAGAATATCATCGACTAATGAATGTAACTAATGAATGTAAATTTTTGTTTGTGAATAGAATCAATTAACTATTTAACTGATTATTTGAAATTCTAATAAAGAGTACATTTTCACCATGTTATCAAGAATATAACCATAAAATAATACGGGGTACATTTCTACCCTGTAAGAAAAATTAGGTTGGAAAATAAAAAAATCAATATATAAATAGATTTTGATAAAATCACATTTTGTGACTTTTCTTAAACTTCTGATAAAAATAAGCTTGTGAAGGGGGATAAAGGATTTGCAGTCCCAGATTTTAGCATTGTAAAGAAATCATATCTATTCTAAATACTGTTTTTACATCAAACCATGAGTCCAAAACTTTCAGAAATAATAAATTATGGTTATACTATAAAATGAGAATTATAATTTAATCTAACTTGAAATTATAATTTATGAAGTAGGAGTATTGGATATATTTCAGAATTAAGAAACATGGAATCTAATCTAAGAAAATGAAGAACTATGATAGTAATATTTTTAAAGGATTTACATCCCTTATTATTATTATTATTTTTTCAGGACATCAACTACAAAGAAAAAGGCAAAATTTTTGCGACTAGGTGCCAAAAATTGGTGAGTCAAACTTATATGAAGCTAAAAAGATGAACTAAAAAAATCAGAAAACCATAAAAAGATCTAAATTATGTTTGATCTATAATAAAGCACATCATAAATTTGACTCAAGAGCAGTTCATAAAACATCTCAAGTATCTTCGTAGATATTTTGTTTTCTACGGACTCAAGAACATAACTTTATCTCCATGCAACTCCATCTGCACTATTCTTTTCTAAAGTTTGCGTAATATTAAATCAGACATTATAAACTATTCAATTTAAACCTATGAAATCTTCCAAACTAGTATAACCTGAATTTTGAGATCTACTAGTGAAATGATCATTTCAAAACTTCAATACCGAATAATGAAATCACTTTTCTGTAAAAAAATTATAACTTGAACAGCATACTCTAACGAGCACAGCATGGAACCAAGAAAAACAGATTTTTGGTTTAAAAATAAGAAATAACACACTATGAAACTATCTTTCAAAGATTGTTATTCTCTATCGTATTTTTTTTAAGATATTAAGGTTATGAAATGCTACTTTTGATATTTTGACAACAAAATGATTTAACTTGAATCTTGTTAAGCTATTTGACCCAAATTCTATTTGAAGCTTGTTTAACTAAAAGTGGTCCTCCCTGATCCTTGGTACCTAGGTGTACGCACCAGTCGCTTAAACCGTACATCTCCCCTGCCTTCGGGAAAAAATTATCTGTAGGTCGAATGAGTGAAGGAAATAAAATCGGGGGGATGGATTCCTCTCCTCGGGAGCGAATGCACTGGAGGCTCAGACATACACCTGAGAGGCCCGAGGAGAGAGAGAGGGAGCGCGCGCGCGCGCGCGCGAGAGAGAGAGAGAACCGGAACCGATCCACCGGGACAACGACGACCGCCTCTGTTAAATACATCATGATGTGCCGGACAGACGCCCTATTAGCTGGTAATGGGCTCGACGCAACGGCGGAGCCGATCACCTAGGACGGTGATCGCCCCTCGATCGGCATGACCAGCCAAAGAGAGGCCTTCTTCGCTGGTGACCGTCCGGAAGGGGGGAACCGACCTCCTAGGAGGACGAGGATGTGGGAGAGGAGTCTCGTGCAAGACGTTGTGGCAAACCATCGAGATCAACCGGGGTACGGAGTACCTGAATAGGTGGCTACGGTAGGACCTGCGCCTTGAGGACATGAAGCTAGGGGAGCTAGAGACACTCTACAGTTCTCAGTGCCCCTCACCTCCCATGCAAACATTCTACAACTCTCTTTCCCTCACCTCCCATTCAGTCACTCTACAGCTCTCTGTGCCCCTCGGCTCCCATGCAGACACTCTACAGCTCTCTTTGCCGCTCACTTCCCAGGCAGACACTCTACAGCTCTCTGTGTTCCTCACCTTCCATGCAGACACTCTACAGCTCTCTGTGTTCCTCACCTTCCATGCAGACACTCTACAGCTCTCTGTGCTTCTCACCTCACATGGCAGACACACTAGAGCTCTCTGTGCCCCTCAACTCCCATGCAGACGCCCTACATCTCTCTGTGCCCCTCACCTCCCATGCATACACTCTAAAGCTCTCACCTCCCATGCATACACCATACATCTCTCTGTGCTCCTCACCTATCATGCAGACTTTGAGCCTCATATTCCGAGGATCATGACGGCGACGCCAGCCTCATCCTCACAAGGAATACTATGACCACCATGTCTCTCAGATATCTGAATCTTCTCGACTCCTCTCATCTCTGTCTATCATCCACCCTAACAATAGGGACTTAACCCCATGGTTGCGGCGAGCCTGAGAAGGAAAACAAATAGGACCAATCATTTGATGATGATTCCGTCATAACACTGCGTGAATAGCCGTCCTAGCGACGAAGCAAACTATTGAAGGACCACTGGGCTATGAACCGGCCCAAAAGCAGAGCGGGAGGTTCCAATTTAGCATGTCTTTTCGACATTTTTAAAGGGACTTATTGTAATTCTTATAGGAGATAGGAATCTAAAAACTAGTCCTTTTGGACCACGAATTAAGGGGTTTTGGATTTAGACCTAGTTTCCAGCTTTCCTCTTCCCATACGTGCACCTGTTCTTGGTGGCTCTACCCTCTTTTCCGCTCTTGTGATATCAAGAACTGATCGACTCTTGTTGCAGGTGTGAAGAAGGAAGCCACATGAAATATTGTTATTCTTAGAGGTACTTCAAAAGAGATCAACAACTGATTGAATCTTCTAAGTCAAAGTAGAGAGGCAAAGATGTTGGACTTTGGAAGCCATATTGGCTGGATCTCAGAATAAGACACAAAATGAAATCTAACAACAAACAATCTGATTTGAAGATGAGAGATAAATTCAAGTGCAGAATAAAAGAAACTCGAAACAATAATATTGAGAAAAACTAGAGAAAAGATGTAGATAATCTCATTAAGTTGTATATTACATGTAGTGTTCTACATCATGTTCTAATGTGGGTTCACCCAGTAACATTTAAGCAAAATTAGAGTCAATTTTTGTCAAAATACTTGTTGAATAAATTGTTCCTTAAACAAAAACTATACGAGCAACGGAGAGATATGACTTTTCTATACATGTAGATAATTTTAATTGGATTATTAGTGAAATACTAAAATTTAAAGCTAATTTGAGGATGACGATAGTGTTTTGTATCTTCTTTGTTCTATTTCAAAGTCATATAAACAACTTTGTTGTCTGGAAAAGGAACTCTGAAGTGTGAAGGTGTGACATTTATTCTTCTGCAATATTATAAGTGGTGTAGATTTCTTCGGTCCATCGATGCAGCTTCCACTATTTGATGTACATCTATCGTATTTTAGATGAACAATCAGTATGTGGGCATTCCCCATGCATAGTTCCTATGACCCCCTTAGGGTGGGATGCCTCTGGAAGAAGGCAAGAAGGCAAGAAGGCAAGAATCCGAACTGATGGAAATGCTAAACCTGGTATCCCATGATTGCTGCCATCATAGCTGCATTCGTCAAAATAAATCAACATTCGGGAGATGGCATCTAAATCCACACCCACTCAGATTCGAGCTTTTGAGAAGTTCTTACTCTTCCATATAAGAACCAGGAGTTCCTCGGATGTCCTGCAGTCAACAAGAATGCCATCAGGAAGAGCCATCATACTCTTATGTATATAATGTAACCAGATCAAACGTTACTTGGTTGCACAGGAAGAAAGCGGATTAGCTGCATACTTAGTTATGCCACTTACGTCATGCTCAGGTAGCCGACCTTCTGTTGACTACAGTAGCCTATCCTCTGTAGAGGTACTTGGAGAGAGGGAAGCTTATACTCCTTGCGACCTTTTTGACCATTTCAAATGACATCAGAATGCAGGACAAGGAGAGAGTCTGAAAGAAGGGAATGCTTTCAGTTGGGATAAGGTAGCCACCTTCAGAGCAATTATCTCGTCTACAGTGCATCGGTACCTAGTAAAGCCCTCCAGGGAGCAACTTGCACTTTTACTGATAAAATTAGCTTCGCATAGACTGCTCAACTGCAGTAGAACATCCGATGTTGCACCACTCCTTTCATCTTCGTACATCTGATTATCAAGCGTCTCCCTCTCAGGATAACAATCTGCTACGTAAGTGATGCATTGGAATATGGCCAACAGTCTCTCCAATGAGAAACTACCTGGTCCCTTCAGAAGCATAGCTTGCAAATTATGGTCCTTTTCTTGCCTAGATGCCTCGCTACTCCTGGATAGGAAATAAGAAATAAATTAAACACAAAATAATGCTGTTGGGGTCAATTAAAAGAGGCAAATGGCAGCAGAAGGACAAACATACAAAACTAAGGAAGAAAGAGAGACATTGACTTACTTTCTCTTGCGTTTCTGATTACTGGAGCCTCCGGTGGAATCAAACATGGCAGAATCAAGGGTGGGAGGGTTCCTTGAAGCAAGAAATGCTGATAGAAAAAGATACTTCGTAGATAGGGACATATGAAAATCTAACCCATCATAAGCAGCGTTCCCATGAAATTTCTTTGCACTCCTCTTTTCATTGGAGAATTTCCCAGTATTGTCTTGTTGTAGTTGGAGAGAAGAAACTTTCATTATCTCATCTATTGATGGAGCAATATGAGGCTGAATGTTATCAAATAGCCTTCTATTCATTGTTTCATCTGGAAGTAACTTTGGATCAGATACTTGCTCACGGTATTTCTCAAATAATGGCTGAAAAGCAATTGATAATTCATCAAGCCGTCTTGTTACCCTGTAGAAGGGCTTAAGGACTACCCTGAAAAGAAGAACGACAAAAGAAAATTAAATCGGACGATAAAGCGAACCTGATTTTCGTTGATTTCACAACTGTCTAATTTTACACACCTAAGAAATGAAGAATATAACTTTGGGTTCACTTGATTTCTCATAAGTATCTCATAAAGATCATCTTCTGTGTAATCGGGAAAGAAGATAGGAAGAGGCTCTGTAGAACCAATGTTCGCATAATAGCAGTTAGGACCAGCGCGACTGATATAAATTAAGCCCACTTCGACCATTCTCAGAAGATCCTGAAGTTTAAACAATATTGAGATCAAATCAGAGCTTCCATCCCAATGACGAATCATCTCAACATTATCAAATACCAAGTATATCATTTTTCCATCCCCAAGGGCAGTGGATTGCTTTAGATCTGATTTATCCGAACATTCTCCAACTACAGATACAAACTGTGTCAAGGCATCTTTAAGCAAAATAATGAAATCAGAAGCTCTTTCACAACTCCATGAACTTGAAAAATCATTTCTCAAATTCTTTGTAAGGAGAAAGAGTTGATTCAAGACATACTGAAATAAGATGCTCGGACTATAACAAGAACAACAGCTTGCATAGACAAAAGGTCGATTTAAATGCCTGAAAACTTGGGTAACCACACTGCTTTTACCAGTAGAAGGGCCACCATAGACAAAAAGAGGAATCATAGGAGAATTCAGTGGGCCAATCAACTGCAAAATCTCAAGTACTTGAGATCTTCTACCAGGGAAATGTTGAAGTAGAACATCCAAACTGATTGATTCCTCTCTAAATAAGAAGTTGCTGAAAACGGATGGGAATAAAGGCTCAACAGTTTCCTGGACTTCATGTTGTTTCCTCGCTGATTCAGTCAAGGAGCATGATCTGGTAGTTCGCTTGGGCAGCTCAGAGACGCTGGTTTTTACCATTTGTTTTGGAAGCTAGTCTCTCACTGAGATCGCTGTCCAGGAACGTCTAATAAGGAATGTTGGTATGTCTCTTACGCAACAGCTTTACCAAGAGACTTGATCCAGTGACATCACCGCACTTATAACTGGTGATAAATAACTTCAGTGAAAGTAGACCCTGATTCTCCCTGGAAAGATCGTAGAATAATCAATAACGGAGCAGGACACAGAACTCAAATACAGAACATGGCAAGATTTAGTCAAATAGAGAATACGATGACTCTCTGGAAAATGCAACCAACGTAGAAAGTGACATGCGATTCTTGGAATAAAAAACGGTTAAAAATAGTGGACGAGCATATGAGTGCATCAGACAGGAAAACCTAAACTTATCAAATCCACAAAAAAACAGTTCCGGAGGAATGCACAGAGAATCTTTAGATACATATTAATGTTGGTTCATGCAGCTTTGGAAGCAGAACTAGATATTTTAATCAACAGTCAAACATGTTTACCACAGGATTATTTTTCATTTTCTTTGTCAACTTCTCAGGGCAGAAAAACATGGGATAAGATCAAGAGTATTACACCTTCAAACATTTAATGCAAATACATTCCAAGAGAAGTCAACAAGGGGTCACAGAAGTGGATAGAAACAAAGGCAGAAAATGTAGTCAGTTTGACGAGTGTACTGAACACTCACCTCCGTTTATATTGATGAATATAAATATAAGTCAAATCAGTACCACACCTTGGCAAATTTCTGAAGTTTTCACCTGAAGTATAAACCATGGTTTTCATGATTAGGAAGAAATATAAGGAATTTTTACCTGAAGTATACAGTAAACTCAATTTTAATAGTCTTCTGTAAATCACCAAGGATCCCTGTTCTCATTGTTAACGTACTTGCCAATGTACAGGTGTAATAAATAGATTCCAAAGGAAATTTTTTCTCAGTGGTTGTTTCAATCCTATTTTAATACTTGCCCGAACCCTAAGCCCTTAGCCCTATTTTAATACATGCTGAGAGGCGCTAGTGGCATCTATCTCCGAAGAATGTGCCTGAGAGGCACCAAAGGTGCTTGGGTGTGTGAAGTACCGGGATGGGTGACCTCCTGAGAAGTTTGGCCCAAGACAGTTATCCCAAAAAAAAAAAAAAAAAAAGCTCGAAGCCCCAAGCCCCAAGCTCCACTCCTCAAACTCATAGGGAGGCTCAAGATGAAAACAACTCTTGATCTATTAGGTAGAAATGATAGTGCGTTACACTGTTCATCAGAGAAACCGCACTGTGTTTTGATCCTTCTGAACGACGTTAGAGCATAATCAAACGGGCCACAACCCAGAACAGAAATTAACTCAGAAAGACCGTCATATCGGCCATGGTTTGTTTCGGATCAAGCAGTTCCTGCCCATCATATTACACAAGCAAACAAATATTCCCTCAGGTCACCATGGTAACAATATGTACACATGGTTTCAAACTACGCTTGGACATCAGATCACTGGAGAAAAAACGGGGCATGTGGGAATGCCCGCTGCATAAGGGGCGCCGTAAAACCGGTTTTACCTGCGACCATCCGTCCTCAATCCTCTAATATTTGGGCAATAAATGGGAAACTGTGGAACATTACAAATTATAGGCAAGAAACAACCAAACTTATGATCTCTCCAAGATCAAAACGCTTCAGCAGATCGCCTGGATGTCTCATCCAGAACTAGATCCACGTCCACGCTTACAGCCGAAAAACGATACCCGCCAATAGCATCACTAACGCAGGATTCATCGCCGTAACAAGCATAATTGGGTGAGAACCAGTAATGTGCAGCTTAAAGGTTGACAAGAAATCCCCATTCCCCTATACTTAACAGTAGAAAATGGCGTATCATCCGCGTCGCCAAAGCAAGCTCATCCACTTGTCCTTACACTCCCTGAGAACCCCCGACGGATGCGACAGGTATCGAAGACAAATCCTATAGACCGCAAATGGGGCGTCGGCTGGCCGAGTAGGTATCCAAAATTCAATTTGTTCCGACCAAGCCCTAGAAGCGGGTACGCATACGAGGCCCTTCTGTTGAGTGGGACATTCACTAACAGAGATCACAGAAACGTCGAAAAACAAGAAAAATAGTACTAGGACGAACAAGCGGGGAACCGAAATGTACAAAGGAAGTAACAGAAATATAATGACGACGAGGTTCTACAGAACTGACCACAGCCGAAGATGGCTGCTTCTGCTTTCGCAACTCCCCTCTCCTCTCGACCCCTCTTTCTGCCGCTCTCCACCTCATTTCCCGCTAGACACACTTCGTTCTATGCTCTCTCCGTGGACTTCGACAAAATTAGAGCCGGCTACAACCGTTCCACCCTTTTCTTTCAAAATTGATAAATATCCCCATGGTTTACTAGTTTTTTTGGTGAAGGCCACAATGCTGCCTATAGAGACTAAGTCCGATATATGAGTCTCTCTCCTAGTCGAGCTCTACCTTCTTGATACGTACCCCAAAAATTAATGAAGATCCAATTTATGTCGAATATAGTTATTAATGACTCTTAGTTTCCATTTGTTAGCCTAGTTCTCTTTGCGTTCGTGTTTGATTTATCACTATCATTTAATTTCATCTATCCGATTATTTGGATTTAGATAATGCGAGTGACGCATGTGAATCTGCAGTTTGAGAAAACGCCAAGAAAAGGTAATCCAGAAACCGTAAAGACACTTGGAAGAGTTAGTCCCACACTAATTACTCATTGACGGTCCTTAATGACCGGAATGCAATGATAATCTTGTTGAAGGGCAGATGGTAAAAGCTTGTTGTCATTAATTTGTTGAGGATTAGCAAGCAGTGGTCTGGTCACACTATTTTCAGGTTGTACTTGTCTTGAATGCACGTACTATACTTCCTTTTGACGTAGTTAGTGTTACACTTCAATAAGAATTCAATTATTTTTTTGGTGATTTTCATTCATTGATAGGATTACCAATTCCACTTGTAATCTTTACAAATTTAGAATTGTTTCTACTTGGGTATTTTAGAGTCAATATACTTATTTGATTAATTATTCCCATGATTTTTATTCATGTAGAAGATTAATAAGTTTACTCATCATTTTTACATAATTTACTTTGTTATGAAATTTTTATGCAATCATATATATTAAACTAAGATTAACATTTGTTGTACAACTGCAATAGCTGTCTTGATCACTAAGAGACTCATTAATAAACATGTTATTGTTGAAATTGCTAACAAGTTCGCTTAGGATTTACAATTTGGGGTTTGGCCCTTATAAGTTAAGATTTAGAATTTGAGGTTAAAGGTTTTGAGTCTAACCATTGGTTTCAAAAGTTGGGGTTCTATAATGGAGTTTAGGGAAGGAGTTAAGGGTCTAGGGTTTAGGTATATGGTTAAAGATTAAGGATTAGTGTTTAAAGTTTAGTTGTGGAGGTTAAGGATTAAGGCTGTTTTTTTTTTTGGGCCTATGTACTTTGGGCTGAACTTTCTAGAGGTCACTGTTTTAGTACTTAACATACCCTTAAGGATTAAGGTTTAGGCCTCATGAGTTTTAGGTTTAGGGTTTAAGAATTAACCTTAAGGTTTGGAGCTCAAGATCATAGTTTAGATAAAACATTTAAAGTTTGTACTTCATGCATGCAATTAGAAATTTCAGATTTAAAGTTAGAAAAATTCTGTTATGGGGCTTTGGGTTTAGGGTTGAAGGTTTAGGGTTTATGCAACAACCTTTTGTTTTAAAGGTTTAAGAATTAGGATTTAAGATTCGAGTGTTAGGCTTTATAGTTTGTGGTTGACTTCAGATTGAGGGTTTAGGATTTAACAATTTAAGGTGTAGGGTAAGATTTAGAATTAGATCTTAAAGATTTAGAATTTAGGGTAACAATTTAGGGTGTAGTTTGGGATTTAACAATTCTAAATGTTAACCCAATGTGAAAATGGCCAAAACATCTTAGAAATAATTTTCCATTCACTTGATGAGATAAAGATTGTAGTTTATAAGATCATAATTAGACAGATTTTTCACCCCAAAATATATATCTAGTGGACATTGATCCCCTTAGACCTTAATCAATTGAAAATTCATCATGATGTATCAGCTCTAAAAGTTTGGCAAATCAGAATTACTAAATTATTATTTTAAAACTTCATTGTGATATTCTCCTCCAATAGGTCGAAGAAATAAAGTCAATATAATTATCCTATTAAAATATTCAACATTAATTAATACCATCACTTTTAAGGTTATTTATGATAAGGTCCTCCACTAATGATCCATTTCTAGGCACTAACCTCCAATGTTGTTGCCATAGAGTGTCCATTGTAAGACAAGGATACAATACTTGATGTTAAAACATTATTTGGCTCAAAATCAGATAAGAATTAAAGTCTAAGAGGATCAAACCAATGAGACACATTTTGAATTGATCTCATTAGATTGGTGTAAGAACACCAAATACTATGATTGGATTGTTAGTTCAATAATGTTGTCTAGATTTAATTGGATTGGTGTAACAACATCAAATACTATGATCACACAACTTTCTTCAGTTTATGGAAAAATTTGGTCATGTCTTCTATCACTATGTTGATTCCTCACATACATGGGATAATTTTGGTCAACTCATACTTCATCTGTGAACTGCTATATATTCAAAGAGAGTTTTTGAGGCCGTGGATATCACTCGATAATCTTTCCAAATATAAAATTTTGACAATTATTATTGCGAGGTCAGAACTCTACCTTTACTACTTTCAACTTAATTTTTACTTTATTTATTAATATTTCATATGATTTAAAATTATAATTCTTTTGAATTTTATAGAACTTTATTTGATCAATTAAATCATCTATAATTGTTCACGTAAGAATTACTAGACAAAATGTTATTTTTGTTTGATTTACATTTGTTGGGCTACTGATGTTATCTTAATGTCTACATCCTTCATTTAGTTTAAAATTCATAACAAATCATACTTCTTGTGAAAAATTTTAAAAATATTACATG